TAGTCGGTGTTGTGGTGAGGCGCTCCAAATCCGACATGCGAAACATAATAATACGTTTCAAGCTTGGATGTGACATTAAATCCGAGGTCCAAGTGGGCGTTGGAAGATAATCGAACGCAGGGTAAAAGCGAGCAGGTGTTGTCAGTTTGGGGAGAGACTTTGGTGCAGATGGGTGCAGGTTGTTGGTGCTTTGATTCAGTTTGAGGTACTTATTTTCTGTTTATTTGTACTTTTTTTGATCCTACACCGGAAGTCTGTTTTAAATAGTGCCTGGTCAAAGACACTTTTTGTTGTAATCAGCCTCCTACCTCCTCACAATCAGTAAATTCTTTGTGGAAGAAATATGACCAATACTGCTGTCTGCTCTGTTATAGGTGCATTGTGTAACTTTGCTGGTGGAGGGTCTATCAAATGCTTTTCTCCTTGGAGATCTTATTGCTTTCACAGTTTGGTTTAATACCTTTCTATTTTCATGGAGACCAAACTAGGCCACGTTACTGGTTAGATAGATTGTTTTATGAGCTGTAAAACCATCTGTAATTGAATAAAACCATCTGTAATTGTAAAAACATCTGTAATTGAATAAACGTAAAGTAGCTCTGTTTGATGTTATACTGTGGAACATTCTAAGCAGAGCGATGATATTTTTTTATACAAACAAGCAGGTGACGCACCCTCAACCGAAGAGTTACATAGTGTGCACCTTTAAGGGCTGGTGATGTCTTATCCCCTCTCTTCTTCCCCAGTCCCCCAATCAGAAGAGGAGGGTGTGTGCTAGTGTGTATAGCTGCTATCTTTGCTTGTCTCTTTGATCAGCCCATAAAAGCACTGAGGCGTGGATAGATAGCTCAGACCCACACATTATCACTGCTGCTTCTCTGTTCGGCGCACACATTAACGGACATGGGAGCTCTCTGGTGTCTAACGGGTGTCTCTCAGTGCATCTGCCTTCTCCCTGTGGCTTTGGGGAGTTTTCTGCACAGACACTCAACTTGGCAGATGTAATCTCTCTCAGGATCAGAATCAGTTTTATTGCCATTGTCCGTAAACACATTTCGTAAACTAGGAACTTGTGCATGGGACTACTATGATAAAAACACAAATAAGGGCATGCATTAAAATAAGGGAGATAAAAAATGGACTTACAAATACAAAATATACAATATGAGCAGAATAACAGGGGAAAAACATTGCAAGTAGTTTAATCTTTCTCAGGATCAGAATCAGTTATTGCCACTGCAAAATTCACAATCTAGGAACTTCTGTATGTGACTAGAATGACAAAATAAAAATAAGAGGATGCATTAAAATATAGTATATACAAATAGGTTTTGACTGGACCAAAGACTTTACAAATACAATATATACAGTATGAGCAGTATAAGTGAAATAAAACTGCAAGTATATAGGTTAATCTTATTCAGAAGTTTTATTACAATGGTCAGGTAACAAAATTCACAAACTGGGAACTTCCTTCTGCATTAAGGTGCGACATAAAGCAAAGAATAGTAATGTAAACTATGATAAAATAAAAATGAGGGCATGCATTAAAATAGGGTAAATAAAAATAAAGTATAAAATATAGAGTTTAGTGTTAAGGTTAAAATATAGAGTTTAGTGTTAAGGTTAAAATATAGAGTTTAGTGTTAAGGTTAAAATTTAAGTTTAGTGTTAAGGTTCAAATATAAAGTTTAGTGTTAAGGTTAAATATAAAGTTTAGTGTTAAGGTTCAAATATAAAGTTTAGTGTTAAGGTTAAATATAAAGTTAACGTTAAGGTTCAAATATAAAGTTTAGTGTTAAGGTTCAAATATAAAGTTTAGTGGTAAGGTTAACCTTAACACTAAACTCTATATTTTAATTACAGTCATAGTTTCATGGCACATATTGATGGTAGATGGATGAAGGAGTTTGGGATATTGACAAAATATATTTATTACAGATAATTGAATAGATGTTATTTCTTTATTATTATTATTTATTTTAGCAGTGGCCAGTATCTGATATTTACCGACACCAATATGAAGATTTTAAATCCATAACAAGGTCCACAAATGTATGTTAAGAAAAATTCACAACTTAACATTTCACTTTTGTAAAAATAATAACAAAATATATTTATCTGGGTCACAACATATTTTATTGCATTATTGTGTAAATATACAGCCATATTTTTAATACTGCTCTTTCATTTCCATTTTTATTTAATAGTCTGTTCGAAAAGATGAATCTGATGTTCTGAGGACAGACTGGGAATGGCACATGGGCATACAGACACTTTAGCAGCTTGGAAAAAAAATACTGGTGCCACATATTTGTTAAATTTCCAGTATCAGACTGATACCGATAGATTTGGATCTCACTTGTTGTTTGACTATCCTAATGCCGATATTCAGACAATCATGTGGCAAATCATCAGAAATGTGCTAAGACAAGCCTGTATGTTTCCTGGTTGAGGGAGTAAATATCACAAAAATGATGACAATTAAAAGCCACATTTATAAGGTGTGCAAAAAAGAAATGGAGAGCAATTGTAGTTTAGCAAATGGTTTTAATGAGAAGTAATTCCAGATATAGAACCAAACTCCTCAGCTGGATGTATAGTCTGTATATAAATGGACTTTGCTATGGTGACTCAGTAAAAGAGCTTTGTCTCACTGAGTTTCTGTCATCACCCAGGCGCTATGAGAATTGTGTTTTTTTCCTTAACTTCACTTAGCATCAATCAAAGTTTATCTCTCCTTTGTCTAATACTCCACGCTGGATTGCTTTAAAAGTTGTAAAATCTTCTTTAACAAAAAGTTCTTCTGCGCAGTTTGATGGCGCTGGACACATTCTGTTTTTCAGTTCATCACAGAGAAATAATCTGTTTTCTTTTTGCTGCAGTCACAACAAAGTAATTAAATTTACTCAGTCCTTCAGTAACACGGGGTCTGGGGAAATGAGATTCTGACTTCAGCAATATAAAAGAAACTGCCTGCTATGTCTATGGTCTTTTGTTCTTGTTTTATTTAATGAGTTGTAGTGCACAGTGATTGGCAGGTGTGATTTGGTTCAGAATGTAAATCTGCTTGACGTACAACACAAGTCATTGCTAATTCTATAGTTTTATCTGTGGTCTCATGGGATCTCTGTAGTAATGAGAAGAAACACAGAATACACTCATGCAATACAAAAAGGGGCACGTAGGTTTTCATACAAATACCGAAAAATTTACAACAACGTTAGATGTATGTCCAACTAATTTAACTATGTTTACTTTGAGTTAGACATTTGTACTTATGGTCTTGTTTCTTTTATTTTATGCGGACTTTCCAAAGATCTGACCTGTACGTTGGCCTAGTGGCATAACCTGCTTCTTCCTGGAGATAGTTAAATGCCATAACCAGGCAAAACAATAACAAATCTATGGGGAAAAAAGTGTATTTAATTATTGATCATTATAGGTTCTTTTCACGCTTACCGGAAGACATTTGGAAACATGCGAATGACGACTTAAGGTGTAATTATCAACACTGGGGATGATCATGGATTCATCAGCAGCGTCTTCACAACCTGTCGAAGCTTTCCATGGGGGACGTGACGCTAATCGTGTTTTCGATGTCACTTACAGGGAACTGGTTGTAACTGTTGATCTGCCGAACAGAACAGAACAGAACGCTGACATTTTTTTTATTTTTTTTTATTTGTATGATTAAGTTAGACCAATTATAATACACATTAATAGGCAATTTAAAAGAAAAAAGAAGGAATACAATGACATCTAGATGAAGAAAACTGGGCCAGACTGGGTCGTCATCTTCATTTTTCCAAACGTCTGCTGGTTTTGTGACGTAAGCGTGAATATTGTACTTATGAAATAGCTCTCTTAAGAAATGGTTAACATGGTGTAGCCCAGAGGTGGGGACTTGCAAGTCGTGAGTTGGACTCGAGTCAGACTTGAGTCTCTATTTTTAGGACTTGAGACTTGACTTGATAAAATGGATTAAGACTTGGGACTCGACTTGGACTTGAAGGTCAGTGACTTGGGACTTGACTTGGACTTGAGCAATACTTTTCTCATTACGGTTGATAAATGCAGTGCTTAATTTAACAGGAACAAACTGGAACATGTCCCTCCCACTTCTCTGTTTGTTACTTTGGGTGGAACTGAAGTACTGTGATACTCAAATGTACTCCAGTAATGTACACTACAATACAGTAGTAAATCAGAGGGATCTACATAGAACTTGAGCCTTCCATTTCAGTGCAGACTACATGGCAAAATAACTGTTATTAAGCACTCTTAAATCTTAAATCTTTCTATTCTGACTGTAATGATTCACATTAAGACCTTGTCAAGACATTTAAAAAGGAAAAAGTTGCATTTCTACAACTATTATATAAATACTCATGTATAAGTATACCATAACTTTTTAAGCACAATTTAGTTTAAAAGTCATGTAAATTGCAAAAATCTAAGTTTTGGTTTAAAGACTTGAAATGACTTGGAGCTCAAAGCAGACGACTTGGACTTATTTGCCAATGACTCGAGACTCGACTTGGACTTGTCTTTGACTCTGGTTCGGTAAATTTTTGTAAATGTAATATCACCTATAACTGTTATGCTTCTGCTGCCTGCTCTGTTAAAGATGCACTATGTAACTTTTTGGTTGGGGGTCCATCACCTGCTTGTTTCTATGGAAATGTCACTCTACCTGGAATGTTCCACAGTATTTCCACAGACATTAAACAGGTCTACCTTACATTTATTCAATTACAGGTGATTTTATAGCTCAAACATATCTAGAAAAACAGGCATTCTGGCTGTGAGCGGGGTCGCCTCTCCACAGAACTGACCTGTAACTTGGTGCGGTTTGGTCTCCATGAAGATAGAAAGGTTTAATACCATACTGTCAAACAAAGCAGTAACATCTCCATCATAAAAGTTACAGAATGCACCTTTTATGTATGTAAAAATCCCAGTTTAATCATCATGCTGTCTTTGTATTTGTTTTGTAGATCAGTATTTTCATGACTCACTTGTCCAACTACGGCAATGACCGCCTGGGCCTGTACACCTTTGTGCACCTGGCCTCTTTCCTGCGCTCGTGGACCAATCTCCAGCTCCACACCCTGCCCCCCCTGCAGCTCGCCCACAAGTACTTCCAGCTTTTCCCACAACAAAGAAACCCGCTGTGGCAGGTGTGTTTGCTCATATTCTACCCTCTGTAGCTCCCGCCTTTGTAATGTTATAGGCTCATTATGTAAGCTTGTTTGCTCTTCCACTAGGCTTTGTTTACAGGTCCTATATTAAACAAAATGGACTGTTGTGAGGTTTTAGTTAGAATGTTGTCACCTCTGCAAAAACATACCCGGTGCTGTGTTTTGTTTCATTCACACATGTTTGAGGAATAATTTGTTATTCAGTGTTTCCCGCAGAAAATTGTTTAGTCAAGGTGGTGATAGGGGGGCTGCGAGTGCTCTGCGTACAAAACTGAGGATGGCTAACTAGGGGTGCAACAATATCCAAGTGTCACGATACAATATCGTCACGGTGTGAACCCCACGGTACAATATTTATTGCAATATCGTGGAAAAGCTCACGATATGGTGGGAAGACTCATGATTAGGGATAAAACAATATCCAAATCTCTCAGTACGATATTTTCACGATATACATCTCACAGTACGATATATATTGTGATATTTTATGAAGAAGAACAAAACTGTATGCTACTTTTCCTCTTAAAATGCCTTGACAAGACTTAATCCAAAGAACTAAGAAATTGAGCAAAGGATCATGGTCTATGTTGTTCCCTCTGTCTTTTTTTTAGCTATTGCTGCACCATAACTCTTTATTTAAGCGAAGAGACTTGTAATTCAGTATATTGTGATGGTCCACGATATTATTGTGAGAACTTTGATGATACAATACCACGATATTTCGGCTATTGTAACATCCCTACGGCTATCTTAATGAAACAGAATATATGGGCAAGCAGTTGGTAGGACACTCAGATGAATAATTATAATTAACTATCTTACCTTCACATGTCCTTCCCACGACGTCCAGCTATTCAGATTGGCTTCCCTCCTGATAAAAATTTGGTCTCATAGCACAGAAGATGAGAGATGATGCAGTAACATGCCGCCGTCAAGGGGGGGGGTGCAATTGTTGTCAAGGCGGCCGTCTTAACTATAAAGCGCTGCTGGAAACACTGTTATTAGTTTGTCTTCATCTTTCTTCTACGTTGCGATGTCATGAAGTAGTAGTTTTCATGTTTACCTTTTGTTCAGTAGACATTGGCAATTCCAGGTCTGAAATCATCCACGTGACTTCTAGTGAAGGTGAAAGGAGTTTAAAAACACTGTGGAGCGCTTCCTGTATTACCCCCATGTCATCACAAGGTGGAACAGAGTGTTTTCTGTTTAAGAGAAAAACTCGGCTTAAATATGCAGGATTTGTGCATTAAACATGTGTGAATGAAACAAAACAAAACACAACTCTGGGTATGTTTGTGATGAGGAAACAGCATTATAACATAGATCAGAAAATAGAGTAACATGGACCCTTTCATTTTTGCTCCGACAGAACCCGTGTGATGACAAACGGCATAAAGACATCTGGTCCAAAGAGAAAACCTGTGACAGATTGCCCAAGTTCATGGTGGTGGGGCCTCAGAAGACAGGTACAACTCGCTTAAACACACACTCACACACCTACACGCATTGAGCTTTGCGTGTGCAGGTGGGGATCTTGCACATAAGAGCCCATTCAGTTAATAGTCTATGTTCTTTGGTCCTGTCAGGCAGAGACAAAAAAGAGAAGGGCTGCACTCCTCTTTCTACCCATGTACTATCTACTTTAGAAGCCTTGAAATAAAGCCCCGCTCACCCCAGTGTCTCTTTGTTCTCCCTGTCTGAGAAATACAAAGAAGTGATAATAATCGCCAGGGCTACCGTCTTGTGTTTTTGAAAGTTCTATTGGCTGATGACACTGATGTTTAATTTTATTGAAGATTTTTTGCGGTGCAATCTCTGTGTTTGAAAATTGGATAGTGGGCAAGGGCAGAGGAGCAGGATGTGTGAATAAGTGTAAGGAGAAGTGAGATGCTGAGGGTGAGACAGAGGGCATGACCACGGCCCCAGTGCGGATTGGTGTCAAATAGTTTTGAATCATTTTATGGCAAGGTCCTCACACACACTCACATACACATATACACACACACGCACTCACACATACGCACACTGTGTATTCTCAGCAAGATATAAATCTGTTGCAGAGGAAAAAATGGTGGTATGGATCAGTGCTGACAGCTCTCACACACAGACACACACAGCGCTCGGCTCTCTGCTCAACTGAATTAACGAGCCACTTATGAATTATGCCCTTTCTTCCAGGGACGACAGCACTTTATCTCTTCCTCCTCATGCACCCCTCCATCTCCAGTAACTTTCCCAGTCCCAAGACGTACGAGGAGGTCCAGTTCTTCAACACCAACAACTACCACAAGGGCATCGACTGGTGAGACCTGTTTACCTGCTGTAGAGAAGGTGAAAGGAGCCACTATGAGGACACAGCACTTTAAAATGGAGTCAGCAGACTTAATGATACATTAAGCACTGCTGAATAGTTTGTCATCGTCTTGAAAATGATCCTTTGCAGTCTGCATCCAGAAGCCAACAGACATATGGCTGCCTAAATTGACCCATAAAAGGGTTACTTACTGACGGAGACAGCTGTTGCTTCACAAAGTCATCCAGAAATGACGGAGGATTCTTTATTAAACACTGTTTAAATGACACTGCTTCTTGGAGATGGCAGTGCAAAACCAGAATGATGCTGTAATAGGCACTTCAAGCGTTTGACTTTTGAAATTGTACCTGACTTTGAGAGCGTGTAATTACAGTATGTGTGCTGAGCTGTTTGATATTATGTTTATCACTGATGTGTGTCACCACTACAGGCTTATATTAACTCTCTCCTCTGCATCTTTATTGTGCTCCAGGTACATGGAGTTTTTCCCTGTGCCCTCTAATGTGAGCACAGACTTTCTCTTTGAGAAAAGCGCTAACTACTTCCCTTCGGAGGACACCCCACAAAGAGCTGCTGCTCTGCTGCCCAAGGCCAAGATCATTACTCTGCTCATCAACCCGTCTGACAGGGCCTACAGTTGGTACCAGGTACAGTACATGTCTACACCCTCACTACAGCTGGTACAATGTACAGTACACGTGTACACTCTCACTACAGCTGGTACAATGTACAGTACACGTGTACACTCTCACTACAGCTGGTACAATGTACAGTACATGTGTACACTCTCACTACAGCTGGTACAATGTACAGTACATGTGTACACTCTCACTACAGCTGGTACAATGTACAGTACATGTGTACACTCTCACTACAGCTGGTACAATGTACAGTACACGTGTACACTCTCACTACAGCTGGTACAATGTACAGTACACGTGTACACTCTCACTACAGCTGGTACAATGTACAGTACACGTGTACACTCTCACTACAGCTGGTACAATGTACAGTACATGTGTACACTCTCACTACAGCTGGTACAATGTACAGTACATGTGTACACTCACTACAGCTGGTACAATGTACAGTACACGTGTACACTCTCACTACAGCTGGTACAATGTACAGTACATGTGTACACTCTCACTACAGCTGGTACAATGTACAGTACACGTGTACACTCTCACTACAGCTGGTACAATGTACAGTACACGTGTACACCCTCACTACAGTGGATACTCCACACCTCATCCTGTTCAGCTCCAGTTGTCTATTGATCAGAATTGAGTGTAATTTCATGCTATGATGTGTATATAATAGAGCAGATTTTTCTGTTTGATAAATATAAAAATTAGGTCTAAATCTATACCCTATTAAAATATGTTTAAGTAAATTAATAGTAATAGCTGAGATAATGACTAATGAGGGAGAGTGCATAAGTAGAGCAGACAGAATACTGTAAATACTCCCTGAATATTCAGTTCTCTGTTTTATTCTGTGCGCCTGCAGCATCAGAGGGCCCACGAGGACCACGCCGCCCTCAAGTTCACCTTTTATGATGTCATCAGCGCTAAAGCGGGCGCTCCGGCCGAGCTGCGCTCTCTGCAGAGCCGCTGTCTGCTCCCAGGGCTCTACTCCACTCACCTCGAGAGGTGGCTCACTTACTACCCTCCCAACCAGGTGAGTGCTGACTTCACATGAGAGTATGGAACACCGCACTATATGGTTCTGAATTATACATGCTCAGTGTAGATGCATGTGTAGGAGAAACCAGAGTTCAGTGATTTAACCACTGCTTACACAATGTAAGATTTAGATACAACAACAGTGTGAAAAATGAGACAAAACAAGAGAGAAGTTCACACATTTCCAATATCGTTATATGCTCAGGGATAGCGGCGGTGTCAAATATTTTCTGTATTTATTTTTACAATGCTGTTTTGTAGTTTCTTGAAGATTAAATTGCAGTTACATAACACATTTATATCTGTTTTTGGTTATTTGTGTGTGACTGCAAAAGCCTGAGTAAAGTCACTTTTAATATAGGACCACATTTACTGACTGTATATCCACTATATTTTGTTGCATTGTTGTCATTTTTCTAAATGTTCTGAAATATTCTGGTGTTCTCTGTTGTGTGTTTTAGGTGATGATCATTGATGGTCACCAGCTCAGATCTGACCCGGCCTCTGTGATGGACGAGGTGCAGAAGTTCTTGGGAGTGACTCCTCACTTTAACTACTCCCAGGCGCTCACGTGAGTCTGTCACTGATGCTTTCTTTGACAGCTGAGACTTCTGGAGTTAAAACTGTAGAAATACTGACATCTAGTGGTGTGTGGTTTTATGTTGCATTATAGTCACAACAGCTTTTTTTTTTAGCTTTTCTGAAGGAAATAAGATTCTTAATTGTGTGTGTGTGTGTGTGTGTACATATGTATATATATATATATATATATATATATATATATATATATATATATATATATATATATATATATATATAATATATATATACACATATGTTCATGTTATATTTGAATAACACATTTTCATGGTAATAGTACTTTTTATAGAAACAGTAACAGTAGTGTCGATGTGTAGAGAGTACATGTATAGAGTTTTATGGCTGTGCAACTGAACAAACTTAAAACTGTGATATTTCCCTTATCACTCTTTTGAATTTCAAAAATGTAAACGATGCCCTTCTGTTCAGTATGACATGTGCACTCATTCTGCCACTCAAACCAGAGCAAACCTCTTTTCTAATGCACTCTGCTGCACAGCACTGATGACAGCAAATGTCCCACTAGTGGAACGTAAAGTTAGTCATGAATCTTTTAAACAAACATTATTAACATATTAAAACATTATTAATAAACATATATTCGATGTATACTTTCTTCACAGGGTATGTTGACAGAATAGAAATCATAGTTCGAAATAATGATGTTTTCAGTTATCCAAACAATAATTTTAACTAGACAAATAATTATTATTATACTTTTTGCCATAATACAACAGCCCTGGTATGTATACAGTAGTAATATGTGTATACGTGTCGAGCCCTTTGCAAACTTCTCTTTTGGATGAGAGAGGGATGGAGGGTGTTAGAACAATTTTCCAACAGTTTTTTTGGAAAAAACTAATTTTAAATTTTGTTTTAATTTGTAAAATGTGTTTTTTGTTTTAATTTCAACTGTATTCAAGGAAAGGAAAAAAAAAAAAAAAAAAAACTAACAATAAATACTGTACACATCCAGGAGAACAGAATCCAGGTACATTCTACTTCATGTAACAGCGAACACCAATTCAACTTGAGTTTTGTAGAAATTATAACTTCAGGTGCACTGTGTAACATTTCTAGTGGTGGGTCCACCGCCTGCTTATCTCCATAGAAATGTTTTTGCTTTGTTTAGAATGTTCCACAGTATATTTTAAACCTATCACGAGGGAGACACGCAGGTTACAACACTACGTTCCATTACAATTCAGGTCTATGGAGAGTCGCCCCTATTCACAGAAGGAATTATTATACTTTTGAGCAATAGAATTACCCTTAATGAATAAATGCTAGATGTTTAATGTCATACCATGGAACATTCCAGGCAAAGCTCTGCCATAAAATCTGCGCAGTGCACCATTAATTAACAACCAAAGCGGGGCTGTCCATAAATTCCACAAAGTTTATATTGAAACATTTTTGTGCATCTCCAATAGAATCCCCGTCATCCCCTCTCTACCTCCCTCCCTGACCTTTAAGTGAAGTAGCGTCGAGAGTTAAACTGTTTACCTCTCATCACACACCGATCTGCTCCTGAGCCTTCACAACCTCCAGACAGGGACATCCAGACATGCATACCAACGCGTCTGCAAACAAAATCATCTTGACATAATAATGAGTGTGTGCGTGGGTGCGTGTGTGTGTGTGTGCGTGTGTGCTTTGGCTAAAGGCCGAGCTACACAAAAGCCTAATCTTTCCTTTCTCTCCTAATTCTGGTGACAGGGAGGCCGGTTGACAGATACTCAAATCTACAGCCCATTTATTTAATCCTCTTTTCCTTTCCAGCGCTCTCCTGGCAGAGATCCACTTAACTTTTCTTTATTAGGGCTCTCATTCAGATACAGAACAATATTTGCGCCTCTAATCGTTTATCCTTCCATGAGTGGCAATTAGCAACACAAATGGCCAACAGCTACAAAGAAGGAGCATCAGACAAAGCATTTGAATTTAAAGTGTTGAAATTGTTTCTGTCTGAAAAGAGTCACCAGGTTTTCGAAGTTCAAAACTGGGACAGACCTGGGTTGGGATGGTTGGAATGAACATGTAACATTGTCCGTTTTCGACTCACTTATGGGCAGTGTTGGAGAGTAACAGATTACATGTACCAGAGTTACATAATCAGAGTACAAATTAATGTGACTGTATTCAGTTACAGTTACTGTTTTAATGAGTGGTAATTGGATTACAGTTACTTTGTTGAAATAAATGGATTACACAGCGGTATTTTCCTGTTTTCACTTTTCGGGGTATTCCCTTTTTTTTTTTTTTTTTTTTTTTTCCTGGTAATTCCACTCATTGCCGGACACTAAACCAGGTCTAAACCAGGTATAAACAAGGTCTAAACAAGGTCTAAAGCAGGTCTAAAACCAGGTCTAAACCAGGTCTAAAACCAGGTCCAAACCCAGGTTGAAACCAGTTCTAAACCAGGTCTAAAACCAGGTCTAAACTAGGTCTAAACCAGGACTAAACCAGGACTAAACCAGGACTAAAGCAGGATTAAAGCAGGACTAAAACAAGGTCTAAACCAGGTCTAAACCAGGACTAAACCAGGACTTAACTAGGACTAAACCAGGACTAAACCAGGACTAAACTAGGACTAAAACCATGTCTAAACCAGGTCCAAACCAGGTCTAAACTAGGTCCAAACCAGGTCTAAACCAGGACTAAACAAAGACTAAACCAGGTCTAAAACAGGATTTAACAGGACTAAACCATGCTGCACAGACCGTGTCTCCTCCTCTTTTATCAATAATATTTTTAATACGGTTAAGTAAAGACTGGGCTTTTTTATTGTCTTTTAGCAGACAAAACATCTTATGTGAAGATATCTGAGTCTTTGCTTCTCTACAGCAAAGCAAGTAATCCAAAGTATTCAGATTACATTTCTCACTTTAAGTAATTTAATGGGTTATGTTACAAACTACATTTTGGGGTATGTAATCTGTAATCAGTAGGGGAATACATTTTAAAAGTAACCTTCCCAACTCTGCTTAAGGATCAGTTCATATATACATGAGAGGCTTCTGTCTGTGTTTTTTGTTTTTTGTTGTCGTTTTCAAGCATTGTGTAGTTTAGACAAACAAATGAGAATATATTGCCTTGTTTAATGGCAAATTTGTATGCTTTACACTAAACTAATACAAGAATCAGCACAGAGGCAAAGTTTGTGCTCAAAAAACATTCTCGTACCTTGCAGTGTCATCAAAATAACAATATCAGTACAGTTTCGGGTCCCCTAAAAGAGCGGAAAGTCCCATCACTATACAACAACAGTGTGAAATGTGCAGAAACAAGTATGTAAATGTTGTTGCTGAGGTTCACGTATTGCACAACATGTAACAGGATAGAGATGTTTCACAACAAGTGCCCAATTATTTGCTTTTTTCAGGTTTTTTTTTTTTTTTTGCCTCCATTTAGTTTTTATAGAAGATAAAGTTGGTTTCCCAAACAACAATTATGATATTAAAAAAATCATACATTCCTCACTTCTGCAAAAGATTGAGATAAATGATAGATTTAAAATGTAAATGTAAAAATTGGCTTCTGTATATGGTAAGGAGGAAGAGTATAGTATAAAACAGTAGTCAAATGAAATAGTAAATTGACAGATCTCTTTAATGGTTCTGTAAACAAGACAAAGAGTTTGAAGTGAGATAAGAGAGATAAGGGTTCATGATCAGTTTTCAGGTTTCTGTCTGACCTGTTCAACATCATTCCGTTTTTTCCAAACCTGATTCTAGTTCATCGACTTCTGGAAAGTACATATGACAATCAACAAAAGGCTTATTGTTTACACACACACACACACACACACACACAAAATAATAATAATAATAGTAATAATAATAATAATAATAATAATAATAATAATAATAATAATAATAATAACAATAATAATAATGTATTATCAAATTATTCATGGTATTTTTTTTATTTTTGTTGTTGTTGTTGTATCTAGTCTTATTAAATGTGCAATGTGTAACTTGCAGTGTTATTGCTTTGCAGGGAATGTTCCACAGTATGGCATTAAACAAATCCATCTTACATGTATGCAGTGACAGTATATACGCTGCTTTAAATCCCTTGAGAACATGCATTCTTACCGTAAACAGGGTCATCTCTCCGTAGATCTGAGCTGTCACTTGGTGTGGCGTTGTTGTCACCTACTTGTCTCCACGGAGATTGATGCGTTTAATGCCTCACTATGAAATATTCCATTTAAAGCATTAAAATCGGCATGGATATATGAAGACAGTGGATCCTTTACCTGGAATGTCATGTAGTGCACATTTAAAAACAAATTAAAACTGTGTTCACATCAATTTCCTTAAAATAAGCAATACAGACTTTTACATTTTCACATGTAAAACAAAAATAGTCACATTTATTCCTGCAATGGAAAAAACTCTAAACCTGTTCTAAACCTTTTCCTGTCAGAGCAGTGGCTGTGGAGCTCTGAATGAAAAAGTCGCGTGTATATAATTAACGTTTAGAAATTACAGGATCTCAATAAGATAAGGTTAAAAATGTACTTTTAATCTAGTTTATTTTACTACTTTATTACTTTATTCTTTAGTTGTTTTACATGTGAGATATCCAGTGCTGGAACGTGTACAGAAAATACATATTCTGAATACTACTAGAGTTATTCTTTCATTTGGTGATATTCACAATTAACAGAAATACATGGTGGTACTTTATCTTGTAATTTTGGCTTTTTAATGCAAGTTATCAGTGAGAAAAAAAAAGAAAACACAGCTCTTGCAGTGGGTGTGCGTGCATTTTTTTCTAATTAATCAAACGTTAACTCATGGGACAATAGGACAACAGAAATAAAGCAGTTTGTAACACTAGGTTTTACTGTAATATGATGCACCTTGACGTAAAAGTATTCTAAGTATACAGTACTCTAATTGACGCTTGTCTCAGAATACATTACACAATACACTTTAATGCAGGTATTCAGTATTCTGTAACTAAATATATTTTCAAAGTATTCTTCCCATCTATATTGACGTCATTGTTTGATCTCTTCTGTTTCTAGGTTTGACCCTCAGAAAGGATTTTGGTGTCAGCTCCTCGAAGGTGGAAAGACCAAATGCTTGGGGAAAAGCAAAGGCAGAAAGTACGCGCCAATGGAACCTGAGGTATGATTGTATCCTGAGGCACGCTTGTGTACTGAGATGCTTGTGAACCGTGAAGAATGCACTAAAGACATTGATGTATGGGAAGGAACAGCCCACCGTGACCGGGAATCTGTGGTATATTTCCCAAGACAGAGGCATGTGACATCTAATAAGAGAGCTACAACTTCATTATGAGACACAGAGAGTGACAGAGCAGCCACTAGGGGGAGCCACGGCATCTGAATAAAATGCAATCCATAAATCTTTGCTGTTTAAAATGTTCAGCAGAATGTTTAAAATTACAGAATAAATTGGAAGTGAAAAGGACACATTTTCAAACACTAACTATAATAAATAAATGCTAATTGTTTACAGCTATTTTAACAATACAAAAAGTTACAAAATTTCCATCTCTATTAAAAACTAGTGAAATATATTTAAGCCAAGAAGAAAAGATGCATAAGATAAGACTTCAGTTGTAAATCTTTGTAAATCTTTTTTCATTTTCTTTCCTTTCTTTTTTTAGATTAGTTTAGTAAATTCATTTCTGATTTGCTTTATAAAATATTGTACAGATTCTACCAGTTTGTCAAATCTGAGCTGAGGGGGCAAGGCCACAGTTCAGAAAAAGAAATTTAAATGAAACAAGACAAACATGTGTTTACTATGACTACATTCTAGTCCAGGGAAAGTGAATAAAATCTCTCAAAATCCTCAAAATCACACTTCAGTTTCCTCTTCTCCTGAAACTGTCTTGTGTCCTGTTAGATTTGAATTTTCCCTTCCAAACGTTTGGGAAATTCCTGAGAGAGCTTCACCACAAATGAGAACAAAGTCATTTTTCTGCAGGTCTGACATCGGCCACAATCAAGCGACCTTTGTAAGATTTAAACACGCTGGACAGAGAATCATAAAAAAATCATCTTATTATTGTCAAATTTGTGTTTGCAATTTGAGCAACCCCCCTCAGACCATTTTTTCAGTGAACAGGCAAATGAAACAGAGGTAAATGGTTGTATTGATTCACCATGTTTGCACACACTGAAATCTGATAAATCAATGTTGGAGTTGCAGTCAAAATCAAAATAAATTTTTTACACTGTAACCCTGTCATTATCATAATTGTAATTACTGAAGATTACAGGTTACAGATAATGAGAGAAATAAAATAATGAGTAATACAACTAACAATAATGATAAACTATTGTTTATTTGCATATAGCATGTAATGAGTCCAATCTTAAATTGCAGATCCTTTTCTGCCAATATTATATTTACTCTATGTCAATATTTTTGTCATAGACTGAAAAATTACAAGTTAGAAGTTATAGACTGAAAACAGGACTATTTATTCCTTGTGCTTTTTATCATATATATTCAGATTCTAATTATAGGCAGTGGTCGATGAAGTACCAGTACTCTGTTATGTAGCAAAAGTACACATACAGGGGCAAAAAGTAAAAGTTAAACGTGAAAAAAATCTACTTAAATTAAAGTGCCTAAAGTTTAAAAATGTAAATGTAAAATTAAAGAATGAAATGTAGTGATTCTGATAAAGAACATAGCTGGTTTTAAGAGATTCAAATGATTTCTTAATTTTTCTTGCCATTTTTGTGTATGTGTGTATTTTGGTTCGCTCAAAGTTGGGATGGAAACTCAAATTAAATGTGCTAAAAACTAAGCCTCAGCCATTTCAGCAGGTCTCACAACCATAAAGAAAAGTACTGTTTACTTTTAAGTCCAGATCTAAAATGTAGTGGAGTAGGAAGTACTTGTACTTTTGTAATTAGTTATATCACACCACTGATTATAGGTTGTGTCTATGCTTGGTACAACTATGAGACGGCATTAACTTCCTCTTCGAGATTACATTTTGAGGGCATTTCGCCATTCAGAAGATGTAAACGATTGGTTTATTTGATAACCTGCTAATTGCTAGAGTTTCTCTGGTAAGAGTCAGATTACCAGAACAATAAGGGCTATAATTATGTTATACTTTACATAATCTTATAGACCAAATTGAATAATGTTTTGTTGTGAGGATTTATAAAACAATCTGCGGTAGTGTTCATTACCGTCCTAGAATTTATGTAATCTCTTCAGATGATTTTGTGGGGAGCAGATGATTTTGAAATAATCATACAGAAAATGTTGTATCTTATTTTTGCTGACTATTGAATCCATAAATGTGCCATGTGAATTATTATTATTATGTGAAATTGACTCCTGTGAGCTTTAAGCCATGTTATAATGTTGTTACCTCCTCAAAAACATACCCAGAGTTGAGTTTTGTTTCATTCACATGTGTTTGAGTAACCCTTTATTGTTAATCTGTCTACATCTCCAAAGAACTCAACCTAAATCTGCAGGGTTTGTGTGTTAAACATGCGTGAATGAAACAAAACACCACTTCAGGTCTGTTTTTGATGAGGAAATATTATAACACAGATCAGAAAATAACATAATATGGGCACTTTAAATGTGTTTCAACTCACAATTTTTATTTTTTATTTTATTTAACCTTTGCTTCCTTGTTTTGATAGTGACACCATTGTTGTTTCGTATCGATAGGCCCTGTAATTACAGATCATAAATATATTTAAATGATGTTTCAAGACGTATTTCCTCACAGAGTTCAAACCTGATCTCTTCCTCTCTAGGAATGTCACACGAACACAACCTACACAAATAACATCTTTTGCTCTACCTGTTTCCAGGAGAGTATCCGCCCCCTGTTTGTGTCATGGAAATGCTGTTGCTTTGTCTACAATGTTTTGCAATATACAAAAGATTAAACCTGTCGATCACAAGGGAGACAAGCAGGTTACAGCACTACGCCACATTACAGTTCAGATCTATGGAGAGTCGCCCCTATTCACAGAAGGAATTATCGTATTTTTGAGCAATAGAAACGACCGTAATGAAGAGACGTTAGTTGGAAATGTTTAACGGTCTTATATTTCACAAAACTGACTCATGTGAGCTTTAAGTCATGTTAGAATGTAGTTATCTAATCAGAAACAAACATGGATTTGTGTTTTTTTCGTTCTGTGTCATGTTTAAGTACAACTGGTTTATCAGCAGGTTTATCATGAAACAGTATTTTCAAGTTTACAGCTCATTTTACCTTTTGTTCAGTAGAGACTGGCAATTCCATGTCTGAAATCATCCAAATGATTCTAGTGAAGGTGCATAAAGTTTAAAAACACATTGGAGCACCTCCTGTATTACCACATGACATGAGTGTTTTCAATTTGAGAGAAAAACTCAGCCTAAACATGCATCAAAACATCAAAACACAACTCCAGGTATGTTTGTGAAGAGGAAACATTATACAACATTATAACATAGATCAGAAAATAGTGTAATATTGGCCCTTTAAATGTGCATTGTGTATAAATGCATACTTTAACTTCAAAGGAGTGTGTCAAACAAAAGTTATGTTGTCCTGGTTTATTTAATTTTAGTACAGTTTTTATTCTCTGTTGATGTATTCTGGGCTACTCCTCGCTCTCTCCTCTAATGCAGCAAAGTATTTTTGTTCTTATTCATATAGTACCAAAAAAAGCCTCTTTTGTACAATGTTGTGATCTTGTACAACATATATTCAGCTAAGGGCAAACACTGGCATTATGTTAAAGGTGCACTGTGTAACTTTTCTGGTGGAGGGCCCGTCATAGACTTTTCTCTGTGGAGATGTTATTACTTTGTCTGGAATGCTTCATGTTTCATTTAGACCCAACCAGATCAAGTTATAGGTCAGATCTGTGGAGAGGCAACCCCGTTCACAGTCAGAATAGCAGTTTTTCTAGGTATTTTTGAGCTATAAAACCATGTATAATTTACTAAATGTAAGGTAGAGCTGTTAAATTGTGTGGAATTTGTATGGAGCGAAGCATCACTGTGAAAGGAGTTCATTTATGGAATAGTCTTGATAAAGATATAAAAGAATCAAGTACAATGATGGCATTTAAAAAACACATAAAATCCAGTGCAATGTGTATGTATGAAAAAGGAAACTAAGTTGTAGTGAAGATTTCTGTTTGCAGTTGATTAATAATTGTGACTGAACTGAAATGTACTGATTTGAAAAGTGTGAAGAAACTCTCATGTCGATCATCCATGTGGACAAAAGTTAGTTTGGTTGAACCCAAATAACTTTTGTCCAGTCGACAAACTGAATTTTCTCCTCGACACTGATTTGAAAAGTTTTAAAGTCACTATCAGTGTTGATGTTTTGTCTGGAAAAGGGAAAAGCAGATAACATAAGATTACTCTTCTTTCTGCTCCTTTTCATTCATTTCTTGTAAGTTTGATGTTGTGACACTGTTAATGTCTTTTTATACTTTATGAATGAAATAAATAAACAAATAATAAAATAATAAACTGTGGAACATTCCAGGCAGAGCAATGACATATCCATAGAAACAAGCAGATGATGGATCCCCAACAAAAAGTTACACCTATACACTGCACCTTTACCTATATGTAAAAAAACAGGGGAAAAAAAAAAGAATTTACCACTGTCTTTGTAGTAAATCTTTATATAAGGTTTATATGTGCCATGTATGGTTTACTCCTTAAAGTGGCCCTTTTTGCGTTTTTCTTATACAACTATATTATGAAAAACTGTAAAGATAAAGTGAACATTTTGCATGACATTTACAGGTAATGTGTATGATAAACTACATTTTCTTTATATGATTATGGAGTAAGAAAGCTGTCAAAAATATTCGTGCGCATAAAATAGAAATCCGTGCGTATTTGGGAAATCCGTGCATATTTGGCTGTAGTTGCGCATAAAATAAATATTTGTAAACTCTCAAATGAGTCCAGTCGTACATAAAATATATTGTGTGTATTTTATCCATCAGAATACGAATTGAAAAATTACGACGTCATGAATTACAATCACGAAATTAAAATTTACGATTACGCTTTCATCAGTACGAATACGAATTCGAATACGAATTTTCATTTCGTAATTGTAATTCATGACGTCGTAATTTTTTCAATTCGTATTCTGATGGATAAAATACACACAATATATTTTATGTACGACTGGACTCATTTGAGAGTTTACAAATATTTATTTTATGCGCAACTACAGCCAAATATGCACGGATTTCTATTTTATGCGCACGAATATTTTTGACAGCTTTCTTACTCCATATATGTTCCATGTAATGTTTGTATTCTTTAATTATATGTTGCAGTTAAAAAACAAAAAAACTAAATCTGAGTCAGAAGGGAGATTTGAACATAGGTTGCCCATGTGAAAGTCCAGTGATTTACCAGTTGATCTAATCAGCTGCTACATTTCTATAGAACAATAGGAGATGTGGAGGACAGTTACAAGTACCTTGGTATCCCATAAGTGGGAACTTTGAAGAGGCAACAAGGAAGAGGGCTACAGGATTTTGCAGAGTAAAAATCTTTTCACAACATGTATGTTCACTGTGATATCAGTGGAAGAGTGTATGTCTTATGTTTTTTAAGGTTGTAATGCAGTATTTGTATTACTGTGTTTACACCCATGCTGCCCAACACACACACACACACACAGACACACACACACACACACACACACACACACACACACACACACACACACACACACACACAGACACACACAGGCACACACAGGTACACACTGTGATCATTTTCTCTCTCACTCTCATACACACACAACACAGCAATCGAGTTTAAGGAAACAACCACCATTTCACTGTATGTGGGATTAGTGTCATATACAGGCCTTGCAGGTTACAAAGTTTTATATGTTTCATGCTGCACATATTTACCAAAGATCTTGTAACTGTTTTCACTGTCATATACAAATCTTTTAGGATTCAGATGAAACATGTTAAAATTGGTGTATGATTTGTCTATACCTTTTCCATATGGGTAAAGTCATACCATGGGACTTCTAGGCAAAGCAATGACGTGACCATGGAGGCAAGAAAAGTGGCGCATTTCACCGTTAATGTGTGTGTGTGTCATGTGTTTGTGTGTGTGTTTCCAGGCTCGTGTGTATCTGTCTCGATACTACAGGGAGCACAATGTGGAACTGTCCAAACTGCTACACCGCCTCGGCCAGCCACTGCCCTCCTGGCTCAGGGAGGAGCTACAGAAGGTCAGCACTATTCACTTACACACACAACTAGGGTGTGAACGCAGAGGCCCTAAGGTGTACTGTTCAATCACGCTGGTTTTATGTGTGTTTTTATGTGTGTTTTTATGTGAAAATGTAATTAATTAAAGACAACCGAATATAACATTTAACAAAATACAATAATCAAGATAAAAACAAAACACAAAAACATAGAGCGACACCGACAACAAATACAAAACAACAACAACAACAACAAAACTGCCCACCCCAGACCCTCCCAAACACACACACCGACACAAGTTTAATTAAATAAAATGAACGTAATGTGGTAGTACAGCATACCCACACTTCTATGCCCTCTTATATTGATTTTTTTATATAGAATTATTAACAATTTATTATTTAAATTCCTTTTTCTCTCTCTCTTTCTTTTTTTTTTCATTTTTTAATAAACTTTTTTTAGTCACGATACTTAACTAATATTATTCTCACCATCATCATTTCCTTTCATCATCTTTTACTATTTATTACAATCTTAAAGCATAATTTTAATGTCTTTTTTTTTTTTTTTTTTCGCATACTTTTTGTTGTTTTTGTTGTTGTTTCGGGCTTTTTTCCACCCATTTGTTATCTTTATTTATTTATTTTATTTTTTGTCCACTGATCTGAAGGTTTAGCGATTCGAATCCCACTCTTGACTTGAGCGGTCAGATCCACTTTCTCCCACAGATGACTACAGATCGGTGTTGTTGTGTCCTTGGGCAAGTGCTATATAAAAATGTGACCGCTGACCATTAATATCGCCACATAAAAGATGGATTTCCTAAGCATTGTATTAGTTATTATATTAAGTCATTATTCACAGCAGGGCAACAATAAAAGTGGCAGTAATAAACAAAACCAAACACAAGCTTGAGGGCGCAAAACTATTAGCAAATTTGATTTTCTCATCAATAATTTTATGCCAGATGTTTGTACAAATAGACCACTTGGCTTGATTCCTGGCTTGGGACTTTCAAAATGTCCTCTAACTTTAATCGAAATTGGGAGTTCATAAAAAAATCAATCTCAAATGCATTTTCGTGGAATATGGACCATAAAAACACTCAGTAAGCCAATAATACCTGTTACCTAATACTCTCGGCTTTATTTTAAGACTTTTGTCCTTTGTTATCGTCTGTAAATAAAGACGCCTGAGTCATAGTTAAGACCTGTGAAATACTCTCGTAAAGTGTACAAAGATGTGTCAGTGCTCATTCAAAGCATACCTATAATGTGTGTGTGTGTGTGTGTATGTATTGTGTAACGAAGACACTATGATCCCATTAACATTCAAATGGTATATGGCAAAAATATTAAACTTGTGCTTCATGGAAATAAACAAAACATATTTCAGAAGAGAGGATATACAGTACAACGAGAAAGCAAAGTCACAAAACAAAAATATGAACGTTTTTGTTACAATGTACAATGTAATTTATAACAAGTACATGAACATTGTAAGTGCGAGTGTGTAGTAATGAGCAAAACATGCTTCTTTTTCATATAAAACAAGTCCACCACCGCTGAAATTACCTTTTAAATCACGGGTGTCAAACATATGGCCCGGGGGCCAGATCCGGCCCTGCAAAACCTTTAATCTGGCCCTCGGCTCATTTTCTACTAAAATATTTTAATTATATTTTCTATTAAAATATTGGTCATTTTGTGCGGTGTTTATCACAGCAGCGTCTCCAGTGCCTCTGTACGTGGCCCCTCCCACCAGAGCAGCACAAATGAAGACTTGTCTCTTTCCAAACGCTCTTAAAGGACGATCGTTTTGACTGTTGACCGTGACACCCTCATCAGCAAAATGTCAAAAATGAGAAAAGTGGAGCTGAGTGCAGGATTTTCCAAGAGAAATTCCAATTTACATACAAGTTCATGTTAAAACATTGTGTTGAAATAGCATTTTTCTTAAAGCTTCAGGTTGTTCATAATATTATAATATTTTGTAAAAGAAAGAGTTCCTCAATCAAAAAATGATTTCTGTAATAGATTTGCATTTCTCTGCACAAATATTTGAACTTATTGTTATTTTTAGGGTATATATGCCATGAATTTTCTGATCCGGCCCCTTTGGGATCAAAGTAGGTTGGACACGGCCCCAAAATGAGTTTGACACCCCTGTTTTAAAAAAAACAGTTTTGACAATCAAGTCCATCGAGATTAGGACTTAATATAAAATTATTCATGTTTAATTTTTTAATCAGTGATTTGAAGTGTTATCTATTGACATCTCACAAGCAAACGCCCTGTCATAAAACACGCATCTAATCAGAAACCAAGCTGATAAGGACGAAAGGTATTTTAAGCATCTCTATTGTCAATCAACTAGACATGTTGGCTCGTCTCCCTGTTGTCTGAACAAGTTCTCCTGATGAGAATCGTATGTTCCAGTCTTGTGATAAGACAAAAATAGTTCCTCATTCGTCCATGTTACATTCTCACAACACTTCTGTTTTTGAATTAATCTGTAAACAGAATAAGATTAAATTACTTTTTTCTGATTTCTCTCCCCTTCTCTCCCATCCCTCTTTTTCTTGCTTGAACTCTTTTCTTAAGGTTAGATAACATTTGCGTCCATGAGGCAAGGTTAAAAGATCTAATCCGGGACGCTACCTTGAGATGCATCGTCTCCAGCCCTGAGAGAGGAGTGAGAGCTGTGGGGGAGACGGGGGCGTATTGTGTGCCTTGGACCATGTGAAAGCTGGGGCACTGCTGTGGAAGAGCCAATCACATGAGAGACAGCTAAAACAGTGGGGCTAATGACAGCGCGCACAGTGTTAGCCTCTTAAGATGGACTCTGACAAAGAGAGGACAGGAGGTGCACGGAGCATTGGTAATATGCTCTAAAATCTGCAGCAAACTTGTTTTATTTGAGTCATCCCACCTTTAATTTATGAAGCCAGGACAGCGCTGGTCAGCTGGACGTGGTTGTTTGAGATGACTTTGCACTAAGTTCTGTTGTATGTTTCTCCACACGACTAAACAGGGCACCTGTGTGTTCTCCTTTTTAGGTTTCCTCCACAAGGACTAAAGGGTACAGTGCACAGGCTCAGGGCCAGTTCATGCTGTTATTTTCTCTATTGTAGTCTGTTGGCTGTATTTACCCTCACAGATGTCGCCTGAGACTTTTGCTGAAGACGAAATGAGTCACTGAACCAAAAATCGGTGGCTCATTATTTTCTTATGACAAACCACAGAGGGGTGATCAGACCATACAGCTGAGCACCAGTGATTTTCAGTGCTTAGTTACCACTCAGAGTGTGTTGGTAGATAAATAACCAAAAACAAACGAGTGCAGAAAGACCCATAATTCCAGGACTCTGAAGTAGCCGATCAAGTCAACGTTTGTTTTAATTTTCTTCAAAGTTTGTTTCTTTTTCAAACCAGTGGCCTAAATTGTTTTGCATCAATTTGAATGCAAACACCTAAGTGTTAAACACAGAAACCAAAATGAAATAAAGACTATATCTGACAGCATCACTGTGTCCTCTTGTCTTTTATAAATGCACTATAACATTTTTCCAACACAGTTCTCTGCCCCATGTACTCCTGAGCTGTATATACTCTTTGTTTGGTACAGGCTACATACATACATGTAAGTAATGTGAGTACAAAGTCAAATTTTAATGTATATGTTTATTGTGGTAAACATTTATTAATATATACCTTTTATACAAAAATAGAGTAGTTGCAGTAATAAACACTAAGTCCTCAGTGTTGCATCTACATAAAGGTGTATTTTATTTCGATTTTTGTTTGAAATCTAACTTTTGTAATTACTGAAAGCCAGCTCAACCAGATTATTCATCTGCATAAAAAATAACAATGTAGGAAACAAAAAATGCCTTAGATCACACAAAAATCCATCATAAAAGACTAGGCAGTTTAATTTAAATATGCCAAAAATGCACCTATTCAACATTATAGATCTTATGCAGTAGATGACTATAAGATGGCACCCTTATGACCAAAGTACACAGACGAGGGGCACAAACACAGTTCAACATGCTCTAAATATTTGAAGCATGTCATTTGTGCTCCTGGCTATTGAGGTTACAAAACACAATTTGAGAAAGCATCTCCCGTAAATGTGCACTGAGCCTCTACCTGTTCTGGTCTAAGCCTCATGCCTGACATGCTTGAGCTGGGTGTGTGGGATATTCTGATAGTATGGCTCTATGGTACTAGTTTATTTTTAATTGTCATGAGATAGTGCCTCTATTCAGGTTGGTTTAGATAAGAACCTGTATTCATAAACAAGTTCAGTTATACAAATAACCATAATGTTATATTAATAAACAACAGCAAAGAGATAGCTTTATTCAAGTATGTCAGATTGTCTTAAATGCATTTTTGTGGAATATGGACCGTAAATCTTAGAAACACCCAATAACCGATAATACTTGTTACCTGACACGCTGTGCTTCATTTTAAGACTGTTGTCCTTTGTGATTATCTGTAAATATAGATGCCTGAGTCATAGTTAAGTGAAATACTCTCGTAAAATGTACAAAGATGTGTCAGTGCTCTTTCAAAGCATGCCTATCCTGTGTACGTGTGTGTGTGTGTGTGTGTGTGTGTAGCTAAGACACTGTGGTCCCATTAGCATTCACAGGGTATATGGCAAAAATATTCAACTTGTGCTACATGGAAATAAACAAAACATATTTCAGAAGAGAGGATATACAGTACAACGAGAAAACAAAGTCACAAACCAAAAATATGAACGATTCTGTAACAATGTACACTATAATTTATAACAATTACATGAACATTGTAAGTGCTGTCAATAAGCAAAGCATGCTTCATTTTCATATAAAACAAGTCCAACACTCAGCTACATCAGCGCTGAAATGACCATAAATAGACTGTGCGTTTTGACCATAGATTGTATATATAAATGGACAGAGCTAACGCAGTAGACATTCCAAAAAGGGAGTGAACATAGGGGCACTTCCAGCTCCACTGACTCTGTTTCCGATTGAATTTACACTAAAAAATCGTCACCCCTCTCACTGTAACTGCTCCAAATTACTGCCCTTCTCACTTAACCCGCTCAAAATTGATCCTGGTGTTTTTATTTCGCTATTTTGTCCGTATATAGATAAATTTTCCTAATACAGAACTCTGCTTCAAATTAACTCCTATAACCGCAGGCCTCCTTGAACTTTATTTGACTGGAGCTTAGCGCTATGGGTGAGGTCACACTCCCTCAGTCCACTTCTTTATACGGTCTATGGTTTTGACAGGGACCCCAGGGACCCTCCATTACCTTCTCCTGTCAGACTGCCCAATGGTCTTGCGTATCCAGGAGCTGAAGGCAGACACTTTGGTGTAGACGCCCGGCGACTGCTGAGTCCTGCAAGCGAGGCCCCAGGACGTGACCCCGTAAACCACCCATCCCCCACCCGGCCGCTCGCACACCAAGGGGCCCCCGCTGTCTCCACGGCAACTGTCCACGCGCCTGTCTGTGTGGAGGCTCCCTGCACAGAGCATGCGGCTGGTGAAGGCGCTGTGGAAGTGGAGCTGGCAGTGTCTACGAGGGAGCAGCTCCAAAGAGGCCTGCTGCAGAGTCTTGGAGTATGAGCGCCCTGGAGAGGGACAAAAGGAAGAGACTGAGATCAGTGGGGTTTTTTTACTGGAGAGTGTTAACAATCATCATATTACTGTTTAATAATGGTGACCTATTCTTAAATGTCCTCTTGTGAGATTTAAGCCATGTTAGAACCATATTACTTAATCAAAAACATACCTGGATTTGTGTTTTGTTTCATTTACACATGTTTGCGTAACCGTGCATTACTAGTCTGCCTATAACCCCAAAGCTAAAAATACTTTGTGATGCCATGAAGTCATAGTTTAGTAGAGATTGTCAATTAGAGGGCTGAAATTATCCAAATGATTTTAGTTAAGAGTTTAAAAACACAGAGAAGCACTTCCTGTATACATGAACATTCACACAGGCAGTGGCTCCCTCTTTTCTGCATCACTCAAGGAAAAACTAAAACTAAAACACAACACTACCCACGCCAGTCCATCTTTCCCACAATCAGGGAATAATTTAGCTCCTTAAAATGCTTCTGTATACTGCATCTATCACATGACATCACAAGGTGGAACAGAGTGTTTTTCATTTGAGAAAAATGACAGAATCTTAAATTTAACCAGACAATGTATTAGTAACTGAGCTGAACTTTTACTTAAAGGTACACTGTGTAACATTTCTGGTGGAGGGTCCGTCATATGCTTTTCTCCATGGAGTTGTTATTGCTTTGTCTGGAATATTTCATGATGGAGACCAAACCAGACCAAGTTAGTAGTCAAATCTGTGGGTATTTTTAAACAATCAAACCACCTGTAATTGAACACATGCAAAGTAGATCTGTTTATCGTCATACAGCATAGTCAAAGTCAATTATTATTCAAAAATTATTTCAACATAGCTTTCTTCTACGCTTACTGTATAAGACAACCCCCAAGAAGTTGTGAAACTCCCTGCTAGGCTTTTGTAAGTGACACGTACATTGTCACAATGTCATTAACTGGATTTTTCACATTCTTCTTACAAAACCTTTCAACACTCCTGATTAAAGATGATTCACTTCCCAGGCAGTATAGAACAAAACAAACTGATAATAAGCATTCACATGTTCTTCCTTCTTATCAGCGCTGAGTCAGGTTAAAGAGTTGAGGTTAATTTAGCATAAGTCATAGTAATTTCAGTGTCAATCTTCTGAAATAAATACAAGGAAGTTTATGAATAAATTTTGTATTCAGGCCGTAAATCATCAGGATGTGTTTATGGTCATATTATTGCTACTCAAGAAAGCGTACACTTGCACTTTCATGGGGGTACCAGCGTGATGTAAGCCTTTTTTTTTTTTTTTTTTTTTTTTTTTTTTAATAAAGTGAAATTGAATGGTATAAAGAATAATAATAATAATAATTTAAAAAAAAGTTATTTCTATTGAATGTTCCATCCGTTAAGATCCACTTGGAAATTTTACTGCTTTATCAAGAATGTTTCACAGAACAGATTAAACCTGTTTATCGTGAAGGAGACAGATTACAGCACTGAGCTACATTCCAGGTCAGATCTGTGGAGAGTTTCTCGTATTCACAGAAGGAAGTACTGTATTCTTGGGAACCTACAATGAATAATTGCTAGGTAGATATATTTAATGTCATACCGTGGAACTTTTCATACAAAGCAATAACATTTCCGTCGAGACAAGAAGGTAGCAGAGGTGGAAGTTGCTTGGTGTGTCTTTAAATTATGTTTTGGAAGATTCTTAAAACAAAAAACACAATGGCAATAATTGACAATACTACTACAGTATGACATATTAATTTGCCTAGTACATGTGTTAAGAGGTACAAAGCTACTTGAAAGGTACTTCAAACAAAAAAAAATATGAGCAACCACAGATGGAAAATTTTGATTAACTTGTGGAATGCTTTTATGAAAACAACAATACAAACAAAATACTCTTTTAAATATTGCCAAAAATAATAAAGGTGTCAGGGAGGTTTGTTTGACTTGGCACACTCACATTTGTACACTCATATTTGTACACTCACATTTGGAATGGCTGCTCATCTAAACCTAAAGCAAATAAACTCATGCATGGTATTCATATTTATTTCTCATATCTTTATCTATCCATCTATTTATCAAACTGTTTTGATTTGCAACATGACATTTAACTTTAAGATATTTGCTATCTGTAAAAGCCAAAGATACAGAGGTCTATTGCAAAAGGAAGTTCAAATGCGTATGGTTTTCACATTTTTTCTATTACTTTGTTTGTGAGATAAAAACACCTATAGTAAATGTGTACTATAGTTAGTTAAGTGGCAGTTTGTGAAGAAAAGGTAAGAAGGAAAGGGCAAAATTACATGACATAGAGTTGAGGACTAAAAAGGATTCTCTTAAATGTCACCAGTACACAAAATTCCTTCCAAAATGACGAGACCATTTACGCACAAGGACAACATTTTTTGGACAGTTTTACCATCTGTTTAATAAAATTAATGTGTTGGGTGTCATGTATTTTTATTTGTAAAATGGCTATTTTTTGTGTAAATTAAACAAGCTTTTGCCTTTGTTTACAATATGATTGCTAGGGAACTTGGTACGATATTTAGAAAAATCTTAAATATTATAGTCTACACCACACTTTCATGAAATAATTCTGTGTTTTTCAACCCTGTTGAAAAGGTGCTGCAGAACACAACCCACTTTCACTATCATAGAGACAGTTGACTCAACAGTCAAATCAAATGAATAAAATAAAATTAAATATGAGTGTGGTTTTTCAGATCTGAGCATAGGTGTCTTTGTTTCTTTTATGGTTCAGAGGTTTGCTCAGGGCACTCCAAAATGCCAGTTCAGTACATTAAACAATTATTAGTCAAATCAGCTACGATCAACCCATGCCATTGTAGTCACGTCACAAAAAAACTAAATAAAAAAAATCTCCTCGCTGGCATGGTCTTGGTTGCTATCCATACAAAGTACCGTCATTGTGGCATTTTGTCACATGTCTATATACAACTACATAGGAGACAAAAACAGCACGTCTCCCAGTCCCACCCACTGACATACCTGTGTCTCCCCAGCCGGTGATGTGACAGTTGGAGGCCTGTTTGAGCACCCGCTCCTTCCTGTGTGGCAAACACGCCGGGAGGACGTGGCGGTTAAATGAAACGCACTCGCCCGGATTGTGGCCCATTGCCCCGGGCGACAGCTGGACCAGGGCTATGTCATAGTCATTGCTGGAGCTGTGGTAGTTGGGATGAAGAACTATCTGATCTACACCATACTCTTCCTCATACTCCTCAGGGACAAGAGAGTGATAATCTCCAACACGCACTTTGTACTCCTTTGTGCTGTTTCCATACCTGCACAACAACAACAAATATTAATATTACTGACTCTACCTTATGAATTTGGGTTTCATAATCCTGAACTAAGAGATCCATTCATAAAGTAAGAGCAAATTCCACTGTCGTAATGAAAAGTTCAAGAACAGCAGAAGAATATAAATATGAAAGAAAAATCAAGATGAATATCTATTAAAAAGCATCAATCTCACTAGATTTATGCCTGTGTAATCCCTCAGTCGTCCATGTAGTATCCAAAATGTTCCCGACCAGAATAGAAGAAGTCTTCACTCTAAATCCTTTGTCCAGTCGACATAATTGAATTTTCTTTTGATTTAACTACACTTAAACCACTTATCAACATGTTTCCCACAAGGTTTATATATGAATATATTTGGCAGAACACATTTAAGTCATAAATAACCAGTGATCTGCGTGGGCCTTGAGGATCTCACTGTCACTACTCCTGCTCTGCTGTCTCCCTAAAGCCCTTCTCTGATGGATCACTTTGGTTGAATGACTCACTCTTGGATGTGTTTGTTTTGTATTACATTTGTTTCCAGTGGTCATTACACGGTTTTACACACAATTTGAGAGAATCACTGAAATTGACCACAGGTGGACTCTAATAAAGCAGAGGATCAATCACAGCCCAGACCTCCTGTCAAAGCCTGGAAACTGTAAAGCGACATTGAGCGTCTGGAAAAGTCATTATTTTTTATTAATGTATTATTTATTTGAACAGGCAAAGACACACAGACACATATTCACAATTCAGAAATTTCAGAAGGGTTTTCAAACTGTTCACTAAAAAGCAGTGGGATGTGCTGTATCAGACTACTGCATTATTATATTATTATTAGAATCATTATGAGTATTGGGAAGTAACTGAATACATGTACCAAGAATACTTTATCCTGAATACTAATTTCCCATCCATCCATTTTATTCCACTTTATCCGGGGCCAGGTCTCGATACTCCAATCCGTGTATCATTTGTTCATTCGTTTTTTTGATATAAAACCAAAAATAATAAAATTTAAAAAAATTAAAAAACAACAATTTTCTTCATTATTTGTCCCCAAAACCAAAAATTATAATTATTTGTTTTTTCAGTTTTTGATTTTGTGTTTAAATGAATAATGGAAAAAAAAAAAAAACGGATAACGGACCGTTTCCAGTTTCCTTGATTTAAACTGAGACTTTTGCGCCACAGACGGCCTGAACCAGGACTGAATCAGGACTAAAACAAGACTAAACCAGGACTAAACCGTTTTCAGTCCTGGTCTGGTCTCAGTCTCAGTCCTGGTCTCAGTCTTGGTCTCAGTCCCAGTCTGGTCCTGGTCTCAGTCCTGGTCTGGTTCCGGTCTGGTCCTGGACGTGTTTTAGTCCTGGTTTAGTCCTGGTTCAGTCTGTATGTGGCGCAAAAGTCTGGCATCGCAGTTTAAGTCACAGAAACAGGAAACAGTTGTTATCCGTTTTTTTCCATTATTCATTTAAACACAAAATCGAAAACTGAAAAAAAAAAAAAATCGTTATCCGTTTTTTCATTTTGGTTTTGGAGACAAATAATGAAGAAAATTGTTTTTTTTTGTTGTTTGTTTGTTTGTTTGTTTTCTTATTTATTTGGTTTTATTTTGAAAAAAGAATGAACGAATGACACTCCCAATACTAATTTTGTGTAACTGTATTCAGGTATGGTTACTTTTCATTTGGTGGTATTCAGAGTATCAGAATCGACTCTAAAATCAAAGGAATATGAGGCAGTACTTCATCACACAATTGAGGCTGTACAGAATCAGTCAAACAAACAGAAAACACTGCTCTCGTGGTGAGGCATGCGTGATTTTTCCATCTCCAATTAGTGACAGGAAATGCTTTCAAAACAGTGAAACAAATATACAACTGCTTTTAATCTTATGGCACGTCTTTACACTGCGCAACTCGATGTAAAAGTAGTTTTCAGAATACAGTACTCTGGCTGGCCTATGTATCAGAATAGATAACAATATACATGTTAATGCAGGTATTCAGTATTCTGTAACTAAACACATTTTGCAAGAAACCTAAAGACTTTACAGTGCATTTCATGAGTAGGTGTGTAGTGTTTGAGAGTGTGGCAAGAAAGTTTCCAGAAAATTCCCCTAACCTTAAAATGCAGAGGAAATGACGCTTATCAATTTGGCAGGGCATACATGCATAAGAATAATAAGAAAGGCATTTGTTAATTATATGTTGATAAGACAGATAATTATACCCCTGTAAATGTTAAAAGCCGGTGCACTCATAATGCCAAAGGGTAAAAATAGAGTTTGGCATGTAACTCCTGACCTGAGGTTAGGTTATTCTTGCTAATTAGTTTTGACTTCTTCATATTTATTTGGTGACTAAAACAGAAACTAGATCATATACTGACACAGACCACACCACTGGCTCACGAAAACAAGATTGCTGGTCTGTGCCCTCATGTCTTGTCGAGGAACATCTCAAAAAATTAGAATATCATAAAAAGGTTCAGTATTTTTTGTCACTCATTTCAGAAAGTATATAAACTCTATATTACACAGATTCATTACGCATAGAGTAATTTCTTGAAATTTTGATGATTATGTCTAATGAAAACCCAAAATTCAGTGTCTCAGAAAATTACATAAAGGATATTTTAAACAACGTGTATATAGGCCTATCACGATGATTACTATATTGACTTATGGTTCAATACATGAAAGCTAGGACAGTAAATTGGGGCTCAGTAATTATCATTGTGTACATTTTAGTTGTAATAGAAGGGAAGCTTCAGCTATTTTTATGTAATAAGGTAAAATTTGAGCTGTAGAGGAATGAAAAAGTCACATTATTGATACTTTCTACTGTTTATTTGTTGTAGCTCAGGCTTTGTAATGATATTGAATTTAAAAGAAGCTTTACGGGGATTATCCTGATTTATTTTTTATTGTGTCAGTGGCAAAAAGTACTTATCGTTTATTGTGATAATCCTCTTTTGTGACGTACAGTGCTTCAAATTTTGTTATTGATAGGCCTACTTGTATATCAGAACAAATTGATCTGTATAAGCTATAATAGTGAATAATAGTGAATAATAGAAATAAAATGTGGTCAATAACAATCATCTTTTTACTCTGGCTTGTCACAATAACAAATATAGACTATTAGCAAACCCTAAAGCAGAATTACCACAAACAATTCAAAATGTACAATATTGTTAAAAGTATGAGCCGCAATAAGTAAATAACAGAATGTAGCACTGAAGTAGTTAGTCTATAATGTCTATAATGACTCATAGAAGTTCATAATTCAACCTTCTACAGCTCAAATTTCATTGTGGTACAGAAAAAGAACAAAATGTTGGTTATGCGGGTGATAGTAGCTCAGTTAGTGTTGGTGAGTGTTTCGGTGTCAACTGATCTGAAGTTTGGAGGTTCAAATCCCGCTCTCACCATAAAAGAAGTCATTGGAAGAGCTGGACCCACAGGTTGGCAGTGTGATTCCAGCTCCCACAGTTGAACGCTGTTGTTGTGCCCTTGGTGAAGACACTTTACCACCAAGTTGGAAAAGCACTATATATAAATGTGACCAAGTGTTTTTCCATTAGTTCTAAGGAAAAGTCTCCATGATAAATATTGACCCCTTAAATGATTGTTCCAGCTGTCATGCACTGAACAACAAGTTGATGTACTCGTCATGCCAGGCCTACTTGTGACTATTCCAGTGGTGTACCTGGTTGTGCAAGTGTGTTCTGACTCTCCCAGTATGTAAATGCCTTTTGAAAGAATCACAGCCAAAGAAAACATCTCAAACAAAGACTAGTATTATGAATGACAAAGAGAGCGTTGCATTGTTTTTATGACATTACAGTAATAAAAAAAAGGTCATGACATGGTTTACTTGTTTTTGCATGACTTACTTTGACAAACTTTTAAATAACCAGGTAGATGTACTGGAATCAGATAATTATATGCTACAGTCTATGCAATCCAGATTATGTGTCATTTTTTGATAAGGATGCACTTTTCTGGTAAAGTGCCCGCCAGTTGCTTGTAATCACTTTGCCCGCAGTGTTCCAGAAAACTGCATCAAACCTTTCAATCTCCAATGAGACAAGCAAGAGACGAAACTAATTTACAGGAGAGATCTGTGAGGAGGCGACCCCACTCACGTTCAGAATGCATGTTTTTAAATGTATTTTTGAGCATGTCATTTAAAACACCTGTAATTGAATAAATGTACCTTATCTTAAGTTTAAAATCATATTGTGGAACAAATCAACCATCCTGCTCCACAAACACACTCTGGAAGTTGTCCAATAAGATTAATTTGGTCTTCCGATCAGCCACTAGGAGCATAGAGCAGACATCTTTAAACATGCACTGTGTAACTTCTTAGGTTGCATGGAGATGCTATTGCTTTGCCTGTAATAGATAGACAGATAGATGATTGACTGATCAGTCCTAAAGGAAATTCAGCAGCAACAATGAAACAAACAAACCTAATAATACAGCAGTCCATCTTTTATAGCAATGCGTTGTACAGACGTATGACATGTGGGACAAAGGACTTCCAGAGTGCGTTATTAGGTTCTTTTTACACACCAAGAGTTTGTTTTCATACCAGACAGTTTCGACTGCTCACTAGCGCTCTTCTTCAGAGTGTTCACGTGATGTTGCTGTGACGTGTCCACTCAGCTCATTTATACAGGTTTTCGATAAACCGGGATGAGGGGGCTTTTTTACTCTCACACACCTGCGATACTGTCCTGAGGAAGTCGGACTGCAGATGGCGCTGTCCTGCCTCCACCAGTAGGAAGAGAGTGCCAAAACCTGTATAAATCAGCTGACCGGACACGTCACAGCAACATCACATGACCACTCTAAAGAAGAGCGCTAGTGAGCAGTCGAAAACAAACTCTTGGTCTGTAAAAAGAACCTAATAACACACTCTGGAAGTCCTTTGTCCCACATGTCATACGTCTGTACAAGGCATTGCTATAAACGATGGACTGCTATATTATTAGGTTTGTTTGTTTCATTGTTGCTGCTGCCAAAACATGAATTTCCTTTAGGATCGATCAATCAATCAATCATCTATCTGTCTGTCTACTAAAGGCAAAGCAATAGCATCTCCAGGCAACCTAAGAAGTCGCACAGTGCACCTTTAAAGATGTCTGCTCTATGCTTCAAGTGACAGACGGCTGTTGAAGGCGCCATGTGTGGACCCTTAAAATCTAAAAGGAGAGATTTCCCTCCAGCTGCACCACATCTCCTGCCAGATCACTGATTGACCACTATATAATCAGTTCAAGTACATTCCCACATGCTTCTTATATGGGCTCAGAGTTAGATTGGTGTGCGACTGACCGTTTGAAGCAGTGAGCAGACGTGAGAACCCAGCACGTATGAATTAGAGTCGCTCCACAAACCAAGCGCCCGTCGCCACGAGATCCGCGCAAACGAATCGCCGCCTGCCACGGCCATCCACCCCTGAAGTTTAAACAGGAGAATAGAAAAAGTCAAGATTAAAGTGCCTATGACGGGTTAGAATATTCCTTTGTACTAAAACACAGTTAAATGTGCATTAAATGTGTAACTTTTCGGTTGGTGGTCTGTCGCCTGCTTGTTTCTATGGATATGTCACTGCTCTGTTCCACTCGAATGTTCCACAGTATGACATTAAACAGCTCTACTTAACATTTACTGAATTACAGGTGGTTTTATAGCTCAAAAATATCTACAAAAACATTCATTCTGACTGTGAGTGGTGTTGCCTCTCCACAGATCTGACCTGTAGCTTGGGCTGGTTTGGTCTCCATGAAGATATAATGCCACACTGTGAAACATTACAAACAAAGCCATAACATCTTCATGGAGGAAAAATGTGATGGACCCTCCACCAGAAATGTTACACAATGCATCTTTAAGATTTCAGATTTCTGCAAAAACATTTACACTCGTTTACCAATTTGGCCATTTTTTATTTTTTTTAACTGTTATAGCAAAACTCCTCTAATGTACACAGAAATTATTATCTAATAGGGATGTAACAATAACCGAAATATTGTGATTTCGTATCGTCAAAAGTCTCACAATAATATCGAGGGCTGTAACAATATATCAAATCACAAGTTCCTTTGTTTAAATGCATTGTTTTACAGTAGCAACAGCTTATAAACACAAGGAACTACATATCCCATCATTCATTTCAGTGCATGAACATGAAAATATATGTTTTTTACTTGAATTCTTAGGATTATGACGGTAATAATTCACACCAAATCTTGCCAAGGTATTTTAAAAGCAAAAAAGAGTCCCATCTACAATCAGCCTCTTCAAAATATCACAATAAATATCATACTGTGAGACGCATATTGTGATAATATCGTACCATGAGATTTGGATATCGTTACATCTCTATTATCTAACAAATACAAATCATGTTTAAAATATGACAAAAAAATGTGTTTCTTACATGTAAAATGTACTTAACTTTTGAAAGGAATTCTCCCTAGTGTGAGCTCATCAACGCGTGAACTCTCTACGTCCTGTAACTTGCAACATATTTTTCCACTTTTCTTCACAAATTGCTTCTTGATTGGTGTAAAACTTTATATTTACATAATTATAATTATAATCCCACCAATTCAAGCCACAATTAACGAGAATCATAAACATGTGTCATATGTACTTAAAAAAACAATGACTGAATAAACAAGGCACACCTAAGAGCTAGTTTAATAGCACTTGTTATGAAAATAAACAGAGGTATCTTTGTTCAAGTGTAGATACATGGTAATTATTTTTATAAAGATGAATTCAAAAGCCACATTCAAAATGTCCTGGGGCAGATTTTGTCTGTGTCAAAAGTTCATTGAAAACTGTAAAATGCGTGAGACAGGTTTTGATGATTCTGTCATTTCTACTTAATCCGGTGCTATAATACCTGTTGTAAATATAAATAATATTTTTTTAAGGAGTTTGTGAAGAAAAGATAAAAAATATGTCAGTGCGGGACTCTCTAAAATAAAACGTTCTACTTACATCACACCAGGGAGAATGATATCCAAAATAGGGACAATTTCTACTTACAAAACACATTTTTCTGATACTTTAAACACGATTTAAACAAAATAAAGGTGTTCTCTTTCATTTTTATTTGTCAAATAATAATCTCTGTGCACATTAGATGAGTTTTGGCCTACTCTACATCACGGTTGCTAGGTAAGGTAGATTTTGCCAAGTGTGATGCCATGATTTCCAACCAAGATGTAAAATTTGACACCTAAAAATGTCCAGACTTGGATAGAAAGCATAAAATGGTTTGTATCTTAAATATAATGATGTTCACTGTGTTTTAGTAATATGTGTAGTCCAACCTGTGATAGGCACGTCAAGCTGGAAGTTATTATGTCTTATTTATTATTACCTCAAAGAGTTCTCTCCTCCGATTATCCTGCGTTGGCGTGTATGTATGAGTTTCAGACCGCAAATTGAGCTGACAGGATCTGACCGAGACAGAAAGAAAAGATGATTGTTACACCATACATGTAAAAGATGATGTGTTTATAAAATATTCACTTTGACTGGGGAAAAAAAAAAGGTGCATTATGTTACTTTTTGGTGGAGTGTCCGTCAAATGCTTTTCTTCATGGAAATGTTATTGCTTTGTCAGAAATGTTTCACAGCATGGCATTAAACAGTTCATCCTTACATTTATTTAATTACAGGTGGTCAAAAATACCTTGAAAAACTGATATGACTTGTAACTTGGTCTGCTTTGGTCTCCCTGAAGATAAAAAGGTTTAATACCATACTGTGAAACACTAACAACAACTCCTTGGAGAAAAGTGTTTGACAGACCCTCCACCAGAAAAGTTACACAGTGCACCTTAAAAAAAAAAAAAAACAAAAAAAGAAGTGTATTAAGTAAATGCTAAAATACATGTTATGTCTAGGTAAAGGTTGATAGCTTTTTCAGGGGTTGTAATGCATCTTTCTTTAGAGATCTAATACGCATCTGCTCTGGTTCAGCTTTATACCGTGTGTAGAAATGTGAAGTCCATTTAGCTCAAAAACACATGTGGAAGTAACAGATATGAGCCTGCACTGGTGTGTGCGAGCTACAGGGTGAAGTAATAACAGCTTTGTTCACTTTACCATCTGGACATACGCTGTACACACTGGGACTGCTCCAAATCCCTTCTCCTATTTGTCACATAGGCTTTGGTTTCTCATTCATTTTTCACTATGTTTGGAAGTGTTTTATACACAAAGAAATTGCTCCACTGCTAGAAATGAATCATTTTTGGTACAGTGGATACTTATAGTAGTTTTCATTTCATTTAAATGTGCTAACTAAGAAATTAGAATTAGGTGGAAATAATACTGAAACTTGACGATCTAAGCAAAAGTTGAACTGTCAAACTGTATGTTGATATTGTATGTGATTGACAAACTAAAGGATTTGTTTTTGAATGTAATGTGCATTAATCAAAGGGACTTTATGCAACTTTTTTTGTTTGGATTTGTAACATACTTGTTTCTATGGATATGTCATTGTTTTGCCTGCAATGTTCCACAGTATGGCTTTAAACCATTGTTTCCTAAAGACTGGGTCGTGACCCTCAGGTGGGTCGCAAGAGATTTTGTTGTCACAGTCTGCATGTAGGTCTGCAATATACAGTTTGACACAAATAGGCTATTTATGGATCCTTTTATTAATGATTCAATTATTGTTTTTTATTGTTTAAAACTTGAGTAATACTAATTGTTCTGAGAGACACGATTACTCAATCAACAATAAAATATCCTCATTAATGTTCAGTAATGGTCAAGTCCACCTTTATTTTGTGATTTACGAATAATGTCTATTGACTTGGATCACAAAGGTTTGTGACTTTTAAAATATGGGTCCACAGAAAAAAAAAGTTTGGGAAACACTGAAGTAGAGCAGCTCTACCTTACATTTATTCAATTGCAGGTGGCTTTACTACTCAAAAATACCTAGAAAAACAGGCATTCTGACTGTGAGTGGGGTCGCTCTCCACAGATCTGACTTGTAACTTGGTCTGGTTTGGTCTTCATGAAGAGAGAAAGGTTTAATGCCATACTGTGGAACATTCCATACAAAGTAATAACATCTCAGTGAAGAAATGCATTTGACGGACCCTCCATCAGAAAAGTAACACAATGCCCCTTTATGCTCTAGTATCGAATGGCTTCAGGACATATATAAATACAAAATCAAAACAAAACTGAAGTATGTATGAATTATATCACACTGATATGATTACAGACACTGGGCATCTTGATCTCTATCGCATAGATCTACTACAATGTGGGGAATTACATAATGATTTGATTCGTGACTGCCTGGTATAAATAAACAAACAGATAAAGAAGAAAAACTATTACACAGCTGCAGGCTTTAATAGTAAGCGCCCTGCATGACTTCAGCTTCTAAAAAAAGAAAAAAATCTCTACAAGTCTGACCTTTGACCTCGTTATGGGCCTGCTGCGGGGTCCCAGTTCCAAATAAATAAACAAACAAATAAAGCAGTAAAAATCTGCATCACACAGCTGTATGCTTTAATAGTATAGAGACCTGCATGACTTCAGCTTCTTATAAAAGAAAAATAAACTCTATAAGTATGACCTTTGACCTCTTTATAGGCCTGCTGCGGGGTCTCGTAGTTGTGTATAAATAAGAAAACCGATAAAGAAGTAAAAATCTGCATCGCACAGCTGCAGGTTTTACTAGTAAAAGACCTGCATGACTTCAACTTCTATTAAAAGAAAAAAAAAAAACTCTACAAGTCTGACCTTTGACCTCTTTATAGGCCTGCTGCGGGGTCCTGTAGTTGCAAATGACCCCTGCATCTTCGCTATGGCGACAGTTATGCGTGCCTGGGGTCTGTTTGATGCAGTCTGCAAGCGAGCGCTCCTCTCCGCTGCATTTCACATTGTCGACGTGGATGGGGCCAGTCCCTTCCCCAAAGTATGCCATAACACGCGCTTTGGCAACTCCGCTGGTAAATAAACAGAATGAAAAATGAGAACCACCAGGACACAGACATAAGTTATGTATTTCTAAAATTGTTTGACATTTTCAGACTTTGAAGCAAACGAAGTGAAAGAAACAAAAACACTGTGTGAAACCAATTCCCATTTTGCCATTTATAATAACAGGGGAATAACACGGGAAATTTTCAAATGAGATACTGATTTGAGCAGGTATCTTTACTTAAAGGTACACTGTGTAAGTTTTTGTTGATTGTTTCCATGGAGAATATTTTTGCTTTGCCTGAAGGTTTCACAGTATGGCATTAAACTCATTTATGTTGCATGTATTCAATTATGGATGTTTTAGTGCTCAAAAATACTGCAAAAATACTGTGAAAATCATGCATTCCTACAGTGAGTGAGCGCACCTCTCCATAGATCTAACCTGTAACTTGGAGGAATTGCAAACTTGTCTCCATGGAAATAGATACATTTAATGCTGTGGAACATTCAAGACAAAGCATCAAACATCTCTAAGACAAGCATGGGGCAGACCCTCACTTTAATACCTTTAATCGTACCTTTAATGATATATAAAGTTTGACATATTATGAATAATTACAGAATTGTCTAGACCTTTACTCATCCATCCATTTTCTTCTGTTCATCTACTTGTTATTATGTCTAGACCTTTATCACAGCATAAGACCACCTGGTAAAATTACTAACAATATTTATGGTTAAAGCTTTTTTGACAACAAGTAAGATCAGTGTTTTACTTTTAACTGGTCGCAATTAGAAATTCAATTTGTCAACCTAAATAAACGTGTGTCCACTTGACAAATTGAATTTCTCCTTTGCCATGGATTCTACCTGGATGACTGAGGGATTTTACACAAATCTTGGTCTCCAGATTATTATTTACTATCAAAACTTGCATAGAGTATCACAGATTATTTTCCTTAGTATAGAAATGGAGTTGTGTTCATATATTTACAGCATTGTGAATGGGTCAAGACACTTATCTGAAAAGGAAACATTCACATGTCCTCTGAGAGTATAAGAGAAGTTCTTGTATTTCCTGACAATCCACGGGGAGCTTTGTGTTTTTCAATTGAGACCTATGTAACTTTGAGACAGTACCTCCCAGAGCTGCGCTTCACAAAACACACAAAGGGACAAAGTCTGACATCAAGCCCTACACTACAACATCACTCAAATATGCAATGAAGTTGACTGATGAGAGTCTAGTATTTTCACAGGTATAATTTGTCAGGTAATAGGAAATAGATAAGTCACAAGTCATAGAGCAAAAACAACTTGCATTCATAGTAAATTGTGTGTTTCTATGAGTATGCAGTAGTTTCCTTTCCAAAAATAGTCTGTTCACGTCAATGTCTGTAATACAAATGACTGTGTGTTTTTAGTTCTGTTAGAGCTGTCCCTCTCTCTTACCCTTTGACTTGACGTGTTTGTAATGACTTTTCACCACACCCACTCACAGATAATCTTAACATGGCCTTTCCTCACCTCAGACATTCTCCTCTTTGTTAAAAACGTTCATGCAGTCCAGATGTGACCCTCACTGACTCACACATGTCTCTGAGCAAATGGGCGTCTATATAAATATTCCAGTTCGAGAGTGACATAAGAATAAATGTAATATGGATATGGAAATGGTTTCTGTCAATCATCATATCATCTTTGCACTGTTTTTCTTACATTTGTTGTATATAGCTTAGATATACTTTTGCTACTTAATTTCTATATTATTTTGACTTGTACATCAACATTTATATAATTACGCCTTATTTAACAACAGTCGCTCGCTGTTTTGCTATTTATATAGAATTTATTATTACCATTTATATCACTTTTTCATTCGAATATATTGTGATGTGTGAGCTATTTTGTAATTTCTCTTCTGGGTCAATAAAGTCTAAGTTATTACAGATAAAGCACTTGGCACAGAAACTTCATACTTTTTAATGAATGTTATGGACTAATTTGGTTTCATTGTATATTTTTTGTATCCTGTTTTTCTTTTTAACTATGGACCGAATAATATTTGTGTCTGAAATAAAGAATAAATCATTAAAAATCAATGGAGGAAGAAAAATAATAAGATAAGAAGAAATGTAGAGCGCTGTTTTCAGTGTCACTGAAAGGCTCTCTTTGTCCCTTTCCATTGTTTTAGAAACTAGCTGGGGTTTTAGAGGGAGGAGATAATGAAATACAGCATGGATATGATGATGTATTTGGCAAAACAGTAACTCTGGATGTGTCAATTGCATTTGGGACCCGTGCTTTAAGAACAGACAGAATGTTTCTTTCAGCAAAATTAGATTTAAAGGCTCATGTTAGTCTATTTTCTGATCTATGTTACGATGTTGTTTCCTCATCCAAAACATACCTGGAGTTGTGTTTTGTTTCATTCAACACATAAAAATTACAGTCTGAGTTCTCTTCTCAAACAGAAAACACTCAGTTCCACCTTGTGATGTCACATGGTGTAGAGGAAGCGCTCCACTGTGTTTTTAAACCCCATACACCTTCACTAGAATCATTTTAATGATTTAAGGAATGTGGAATTGCCAGTCTCTACTGAACAAAAGGTAAAAGGAGCTGTTAACTTGAAAACTACAACTGCATGACATCATAAAGTGGAACAAAGTATTATGGGTTTTGCAAATGTAGACAGACTCATAATAAAGGATTACTCAGACATGTGTGACGGAAACAAAACACAAGTCTGAGTATGCTTTTGAGGACATAGCTAAAACCTCACAAGCGTGAATTTTGAGGACCTTTAATACCCTGTGATCAACATAGATTGCAGTATATCAAGTGATGAAATAAAGTGGGTTAATGATACAATTTTAAGTTACTAAAACAAATAAAGAGCCTGTTTTTTTTTTGTTTTAGTTTTTTTACTTAAAGGGTCTGGTAGAGGGTCCACATTTCTTTGTCTGGAATTACTTTAAACTTTTCCATCTAGCATTTATTCATTACGGGTGTTTCTATTGCTCAAACATACAATAACTCCTTCTTTGAATAGGGTGACACTCCACAGATCTGAACCGTAATATAGAGTAGTGCTGTTTGCTGTCTCTGTCATGACAGGTTCAATCTATACTGTGGAACATTCTAGACAAAGCAAAAACATTTCCATGGAGACATAAGGTGGTAAGAAGTAACACATAACACTTAAAGATACCCAAAATATAACATATAATCTATTTAATTGTTAATTTATTTAAAACATTTTGGCTTTTATTTGTTTTGTTAGTTTCAACTTCAGAATTGTTCTACACCAATGAAAGAAATAAGCTACTAAACTGAATAAATAAGTGTGCTGGTTGCTTTTAGGTGGCTCTTCGGTGTGTTTTGACAACCACTGTATTTTCATCTTCTTTTGCACAGTACCTGAAGCCCAACTGACGACACACAACTTCGGCATCCTGATCACTCCATCCGTCATCACAAACTGTTCCCCACTGGCCGGACAGGTACACCTCCACCCGGCCCTCCCCTGGGCTCTCTCCCCCCACCAGCCTGAGTGGCATTCCTGGAAACATTCACACGTATGCATAGCTCTGACACATGCAGAAATAATGATCCTAGTTTACGTTCACCGCCATAAAACTCGACGCTCAGTTAGTGCATACTCTCAGGTTTCCAACAAGCAAAGCAGCTCACCCGCCTGACTCTTTACATGGCAGAACCTGAAACTCTTCATTTCATGATCAGTGTTTTCCACGTGCTTTTGTGGCTGTGATCTGATTTAAGTATAAGTACAGTCAGGGAATAAAATAGTAGTAAATGAGCTCACGCGCTTTTTTGGCTGTGATCTGATTTAAGTATAAGTACAGTCAGGGAACAAAATAGTAGTCACAAGATTCCTCTGTCAATAGGTTGTGGGAATGTTTATTTCACTGTTAATGCAGGAAATGCCCTCTTTACTTCCTTTCATAAACAAATAAATGAGCTCATCTTAAAATAACACTAGATTTTAAGGGATATTGTCACGATAATCACTATATCGACTTATAGTTCAATATATGAAAGATGGAACTGTATATTTTGGGGCTCAAAATTTATCATGTGTACCGTTTTTTTGAAAAAGTGGGGAGATTTGGGGTTTTTCTGTTGTAATACGAAAAGATTTGAGCTGCAGTGGGTTGAAAAAGTCAGTTTTGGTTCGTTCTGCTATTTATTTATTTATTTATTTATTGCAGCTCATTCCACTTAATGATACCGTCTATTTAAAAATGGTTCACTGGGATTATCTTGTATTATTGTTATTGTGGCAGTGCCATAAAGTAGTTTCGATTTTATTATTTATCTCAGTATATCTCTGTAGCAATATATCACGCTTCAGAATATTTTATTGTGACGCGCATAGGTATTCCAAATAGAAGTAAATTCATACACAATAATAGGATAGTAATATGAGTATGTACCATTAAATTGTGGAAGCAGTTAGTTAGGCATTAGAGGACAAAATCAGCCTAGGACTTAATGGATTGCAACTACACACACTATTTGACTGCTGTCTAGGTCTAAAAATAGCTGGGGAAATGGCATGACTAAGATCTTGATACGGGTAACTGTCTCGTGTTACAAAAACAAATTGTGACATCTATGTTTAGAATCGCTGCCATAAGAAAAATAATCGATTTAATAATGAAACCAAACCATATTTGATTATTATTTTTGGTAAACAAACATGTGTCTTACTTGATGGAAAGTTTTCTCCATGACGTTCTGGGTTGCAGGCGATGCTGACGTCTTCATGGTGCGTGCAGTCATGACGTAGCCACTCCTGCTTGTTACATAGTGTTAGACTGGGCTCTTTCCCAGTGCAGCTCACATCATCTAGTAGAATGGGACCTGACCCTGTCCCAAAACGTGGGATAGTATTTGTGTCCAGCCCTTGAGAGATGACTGTCACTCCAAATCTGTAAAACACAAATCATAAAAATTCAAGACTCAAAAACACATCTGGTAAAATAACTACCAATATTTATGGTGAAAATTGCATAAGACTTTTAACATCAGTGCATCTTAAAGCAAAGTCTGTTGCTTTGAACTGAACTCAAAAATTAATATTTAGTCTCATAAAGTATCAGGCCTTAGCATAGAAATTAACTTCGGACCTTTGAATTTGTTTATCTTACAATGCAAGATAAACATTTAATCAGGTAAAACTGCTCGGTGGGCCTGCTAGTCAGCCACAAGAGCAGTCAACCAGGCAACCACGCAATGTGTATGTTACTTTTTCGGTGGTTGTATGTACTGTACCATATTTACAATACTGTGGATGGAACTGTACACTAGACGAAACAAGGGGTTGTATTTGCGTCAAGCCCTTGAGAAATGACTCTTACTGCAATCCTGAAATATACAAATGATAAAAATCCAAGATGAATGTTGACTCTGGCATGACTAAGCTGAGAATAAAACAAGCCACATTACACACATACACAATTCAGTTTCCATTTTGACCTCACAATTTTTATTTATGTGATTGAATATTTTTGTTTCCATTCTAGTACTGCTTTTTGGAACTGTAACTCACCAACATGTAACCCTTTTTAGGCCAGTCCAAATGTGAAAAAAAAATCTCACAGGATCATTTTTCTCATGTGTGCACAATCACAATTTTGTCTCACAAGATTTTATGGCAGGAGACCTTGTACCATCCCTACTACGAGCAGAATTACTGTAATATTTACCTGTAACCAAGCTGTCGACATACTACTTGTGTGTTAGAGTCTGTCCACCCGTCATCGCACACTGTTCCCCACTGGCCACGGTAGAAGACTTCCAATCGCCCCTCATAACTCCCAGCACCACCAGCCAAGCGAACAGTGCCATCTGAAAATTAAAAGGCCCATATTACTCTATTTTCTGATCTATGTTATAATGCTGGTTCCTCATCATAAATATACCTGAAGTTGTGTTTTGTTTCATTCACACGCATTTAACACACAAATCCTGCATATTTATGCTGTTTTCTTCTTTCAATCAGGAAACACTCTGTTCCCAGGAAGTGCTCCACTGTGCTTTTAAACTCCAAACACCTTCACTAGAATCAGTTGGATGATTTCAACCCAGAAATGGCCAATCTCTACTTAAATAATGGTCAAAACTCATGCTTCATGACATCACAAGGTGGATCAGAACATTTTGAGCTTGGGAGATGTAGACCGAATAATGATAAAGGATTACTCAAATATGTGTGAATGCAACAAAACACAACTCCATGAACAAAAACATACAATACCACAAATATTAAAATATCAATCTTAAAGGTGCACTGCACAAGTTTTCCAGTGGACGGTCCGCCCCCTGTTCGTCTCCATGGGGATGTTATTGCTTTGCCTGGAATGTTCAATGGTATGACATTAAAATTAGGGCCCAACTGATACGGATTTGTTGCAGCTGATACGATACCTATAAAATGGGAGCAGGGGCTGCCGATAGCCGATACAATCGCCGATATATTTAGTGATGTAAAAATTCACTGTAAATCTTCAATTGTTTAAAAAACTTAGGTATGGCTCTGGTGGATTTTAAATTGGATTTATTTAGGCAACATTTATTGTTATTCTGCTTCTTTACGTCATATTTACAGTACAGACAGTAGGTCGGCCTAATGGCATGTTTGCATCACATTCTAGCAGCTAGTGATGGGTATTCCAGCTCTTTTTAGAGAACCGGCTCTTTTGGCTCTGCTCACTAAAAGCAGTTGGCTCTTTCGGCTCCCAAGCGGCTCTTCAGATTGTTTTGTTGCAAGCAGGACTAAAGCAGGTCTAAAGCAGGACTAAACCAGAACTGAAACAAGACTGAAAAAGGACTATAACCGGACTAAAACAGATCTAAACTATGTGTAAAACAGGACTAAACCAGAACTGAACCAGGACTGAGTGTTGTGATTCGCTCTCTATCTCTCTCCCTCTCTCGAGCCCAAGATTAGTCCTGGTTTATTTATTTTATGCTGAACTACAGCCAAACATGCACGTTTTTTCTGTCCTATGCACACGCAGATTTCTGAAAGTTTCGTTTTCCGCTGCCCGCTGTCAAACTACCACGAGTCTGCACGCAGCGTGAAGAGAAAAAAGTGAGAGAAAGAGAAAACACGGCTCCCAATAAGGAGCCGGCTCCCGTCATTCGCTTCAAAGAGCCGGCTCTAAGAGCCGCTTCGTTCGTGACTGACCCATCACTACTGGCTAGTAAAGAAACTACAGCTATTAGCCTTTAGTCGTACATGCGTGTGTGCCGCGGTAATTAATTATATGCATAAATGCCATCATTCACACGCCTGTTCACAGCTCAATTACATATCAGTGCTGGTCCAGTAACATATATAAGGCCAATGTAGTCACTTTACAATAGGCCAATGTCAGAGAAAATAGCCTGTTTTTGTGCGTGAGCTACAGCAGCTAATTGCTAACCAATAACAACCAAAACTAGCTTCAAAGTTGACATATTTCCAACACTCACCGCTCACACAGGCTCCTCCTCACATCACAAGTCTGCACTAACAAATGTCCTTTTAATCCAGACTCAAATCGATTGTCGTAAAAAGAATATAATCTCAATGTTGTGCACAGCTGCGGATGTAAACAAATGCACGTGAGTGACATTATTCTGGTGGTGTGTTCAGGGACAGTACAGACACACAGACAAATGACTCTACAGATCAATACTGATGTGGAGCCACATATTAGGACATTTATCTGTCTGTAAATTGGATTAAATGAACATAATGTAAAGAGTCTAAACTTTATAATGAGGTATAACATGCCCACGTGAAATATCGGCCAACCGATATATCAGTCGGACTCTAATTAAAATATGGAGTGCTTCTATTGCTCAGAAATGCATTAAATCCTTCTGTGAATAGGGGCGACTCTCCACAGACCTGAAATGTAATGTAGCGTAGTGCTATAACCTGCTTCGCTCCCTTGTGACAGATAGGTTTAATCTAGTCTGTGGAATATTCTAGACAAACCAATAACATTTCCATGGAGACATCAGGTGGCAGACCTTCCACTAAAAATGTTACACAGCTGCACCTTTAACTTCCATTGTCAAACATCTACTGTGGGAGAGTAGACTCGAAGCAGGCTTATTCTCAAACAATATCCCAATGAATAACAATTTACTAGCAGGTAATATAGCCACTTTTTGATCCATTGCAGCTCAAATCTCATCAAATTTACCAACAAATACCAAAAGTCTCCCACTTATGCAAAGAAATTACACAGACAATAAATCTTTAGACCCCTAAATATTGTTCCATCTATCATTTAGGTATTAAATGACAGATGGAAGCAAAGACAGTAGGGGTGTAACGATATCTAAGTCTCACGATATCGTCACAGTATGAACCTAACGGTACAATATTTATTGTGATATTGTGGGAAAGCTCCCGATATGGTAGGGAGGCTCACGGTGTAACAATATCCAAATCTCTCGGTACGATATTTTCACTAACCAGATAAAACTGTTAATATGCTCCTTTTTCCTTTTAAAATACCTTGACAAGACTTAATCCAAAGAACTCAGCTTTAAAAGTGCTTAGAACTGTTATTTCTTCATATAGTTTGCACTGAAATGGAGCAAAGGATCATGGTCTACAGTATGTAGTTCTTTAGCTATTGCTGCACTAACCAAAGAGACTTGCAATTTGATATATTGCAATATTACGATATTATTTTGAGAAGTTTGACGATACGATATCACGATATTTCGGTTATTGTTACACCCCTAAGTGACAGGCCAGTGTACAGAATATTAGTTTTGAGTACATTTCTCACCTGTGAGGGTTGTACAGGAGACACCAGCATCTTCTAAGTGCACACAGTTATGTTCTCCCCATGTGCTTTTTGGACACTGATCCAGAGTCAGCTCATTACCAGTGCACTGAACCTCATCCAGCCACACAGGGCCTGAACCTTTCCCAAAACGTGCCTGGCCCCACGCTCTGGCCACCCCACTATAAAAAAAAAAAAAAAAAAGGTTCTCATTTTAACCATATAGACTGGTATAAATATATAAATGGACATCGCTAATCCGCTAACGGATGCGTTCCAAGTAGAGAGTGAACATGGGGGCGCTACCGGCTCCATCGACTCTGTTTCCAATTTCGTTTATATCGAAAAACTGTCACCCCCTCTCTGTTTTTGCTGCAGTGACCCTTGTCATTTTGGTCTTAAAATGTTCATATTGACCTGCACTACCTGATCATGGTGTTTTTATTTCACTATTTTGTCCATAAATACATTGATATTCCTAACGTGGAACTCAAGCACCATGAGCTTCAGTTCACTGGAGCCGAACCCTATGGGTGACGTCACACTCCCTTAGTCCACTTCTTTATACAGTCTATGATTGAATATATACTGAATCCATCAAAACTTTTTAAAAAGTAAAATAAAAAATTTAATTAAATAAAAAATACATAATTATTTTTATTAGTGAGTTTAGATGTTAAGACTTGATGAATCTAATATTAGTTTCCAATGGGGATGGGATGAGATAATATTTTACTTCTTTGTAACTAAAAATGCATAATCAATTTAACTGTGTCGCAAAGCTATCTTTCTTTTTTTTTTTACCCAAGGCAAACATAAACAAATATAACAAAATGATGTAACAAGATTTTTAAGCATGTCTCCACAACCTTGTGGCAATTTTATCTCACAAGATCTAATGGCACGTGATCTTGTCCCATTGCCAGTCTCCAGTGAATACAAGTAAAAAACAAGACAACTAAAATATTGCAAAATATGCATATCTCTGTGACACAAGGACTCAAACAAAGGAGCCGATTCAGGGTCTAACACCCAGATGTTCTTTACGGCTCGCCCCATTCCCTCCGTGTTGCAGAAAATACTTGTCATATTTGTAGAGACAGAGGCTGAGATAGAAAGCTGGACACCCACACTGACAATTTATTGCTCCCGTTTGTCAAGCAAATTTCCTTGGATGAATGTATATATTTTGTGTTTTTCTAGATCTTGTTCACTTATTGTCCTTCACCTCAGCCCAAGTTGTCTGCACACCACCTCTGCGTCGCTGTCATCCCATTGGTCGTCACAGATGGACCCCCACTGACCAGCATGAAAAACTTCCACTGTGCCTTCTGACAACGAATGGCCTCCAACCAACCGAACAGGAAGTGTGACTTGTTCTAAACACAAAACAAAGCTAGATTTATTTTTAAGACACTATGGTAGTTCACATTACGGTATTGAAACTTTCTATCTTCATGAAGATCAAACCAGATCCAGTTACTGGTCAGATCTGTGGAGAGGGACACACAGAATGTGTGTTTTTCTAGGTATTTTGAGCTATAAAACCATCTGTAACTGAATAAATGTAAGGTCGAGGTCTTTAATGTCATACTGTGGAATATTCCAGGTAGAGCAATGACACACCCATTGAAAAAAGCAGGTGACGGACCCCCAACCAAAAAGTTACACAGTGAGTGCACCTTTAAAAACTATTTCTCTAATTCATAATGAGGTGTAATATAATTATTTTCTTTTGTATACCTTTCTGTTGCGTGCATGTAACCCCTGCAGCCATTGTGCACTCTCCTCCGTTCCACTGAGTCCGAGGACACTGAAGAAGATCTTGCTCCTCTCCATGGCAGTGGACTGATCTGTAATGGATTTTGGCCAAGCTGGGACGGGGCAGAGGAACTTCACGTGCAACACCTAAAAACCTTTAACAGATATTGTGGTTTAGCTGTAAAAATGATGAATTAAAAAGTCACACCATTGAAGTAAGCACATGCATTATGCAGGTTTATGAAGCGTTGATGTTACAATGAACAGTTTCATAATAAGTGATCATCACATAGGCCTGTATTAAGTCATCTCATACTTTAGCTAAAACTTTTCACAAGAATTCAGTTAGTTAATCAAAATAAAATCCATTGCTGCCAGTTATCAAGTGGAGGACATTTGCCCTCTCCTCTACAGGCTGCTTTTCATTCTTGTTCGAATATGCACGTGAGCGCTCGTGTCAGCACGTGTCAGTTCATATATTGGTTTCAACACATGTACCACACAGAACAGCCCCAGGCACATTTAAACCTTCCAAACCAAAAACAGTACACATGTAGTCAACAAGGTAGTAGTATATATCAGCACCAATGTAACAGAAGCAAGAATACAAATACATGCAGAGGAAAAGGGTGGTTTTGGAATGTAAGGGTCAACATAGAGAAAAAAAACCCAAAACACTCAAAACGTGTTCAGATCACACATGAAAGGCTTGAGGTAAGTGCCATCCACGTGCTCCCTTACCCTTTCCCCAGCTGCCTGCAAACCACAGAAGCATCTTCTTGCCCCCAGTCATCACTGCATATGGAACCCCACACGCCAGAAATATACACCTCCACTCGGCCGTCCAGTTTAGAGCCTCCCTGCAGACGCACAGAGCCTGGGATGGGGTCAGATAAAATCACTGAGATAAGATTCCTACAACAGCGAGTGCATTAACATAATAGTTTTTTACACTTTCCAACACAGAGTTTCGCGGCCAGTGGAGAGTGGTAACCCTGGTGGTCCACCAGCACTTAGGCTATCAAGGCTACTTGGAATTAATTTCAGATTTATAACATAAAGGGGTACATTTAAATACAAATGTACTTTGTAAGACAATGTATCTTCGAGTGCATCATTGATAATGTTTTAGGCTAATTTTCATTAAAATAAGAGCATTGCCTATTGAAGGCTTAAATTTATCATATCGGCTACTATAGTAGCCCAGACTGATTCATACTTCAAATAATCACCATACACGTATAGGGTATAGGGCCACTCGAGACATTAAAGGGTTGGGGAGCACTGTAAACGGTTTATCCTAATTCTAACACATGCAACGGCACCATAATATCTTAATGGCCTCTCATGTGTAGGCACACTTAACAGGGGAAATGGGCTACTAGCCTAAGACTTGCATTAACATGTCACACCTGGAAAACAGAAGGTGCGCCTGAAGCCAGTGAAGATGGGGTAGCCTGTCACTAATTGACAAAGCTTGGTTGTGATAGGGCCAAAATCTACTGGTGACCAAACCTTGTTTACAGTCGCAGTATCCCCAGTCCACTCTGCCTTTATGGTTCCTGAAAAAGCACCATGGACGGATCCTGCCATCTGGGTTACGGCAATAGTTGTGTTGTCCTAAGCCCGTCTCTGGATATCGGTCCGTAAAGCCGACCACCTCGGTCCAGTTAATGCACCGCGCTCCGGACTCCGTAACGTCGATGGCTCCACGATAAAGAGCGTCTTTCCCGCGGCTCTGAGCGCACACGGTAAACGGCTGAGGGATGAAGGAGGGCACGCCGCTGCACAAACAAGGACCGCTATTTGCAAGCAACAGTGTCATTGTAGAAGCCAAAAATATCCGATTCATGTTAGCGGTCTGAAGATCTAGTTCCCAAATGACAACGGACGATCCTCTTGAAGCGCCCGCGCAGGCTACAGGCTACAGCCCATAATCCTGGTGTGGGAATAGAGCAGAAACGGGATCAATGAAACTCTGTGTCTTCTTGGCTCAGCTGCAGTCACAGACGGCAGATCGCCTAGTCACTTGCCCACTACTCTCCAGACGCACGATAACAGGTTTACAGGTTTTTCATGGAGAATATAGGCCTACAATTAGAATTTCACAATGGAAATTCACAATGATTTACTGGCTACTAATCGCCGTGATTTCAATAGTAAGATCACAATAAAGTAATGGGAAAATATTTCAGAGTAGCCAGTGTATTAACAATAGCGTATTGTGATTCCACAACAGAACAGTTTATGTGTTGTTGGCCATTGTAAATTCACATTTAGCTGCCGTGAAGAGCGCGTGACAGACAATGAAATTAACATTCTGTGAATTTGCAATTAGACCTATGCTGTTGTAATGTCAACTAATATTACTGTTATTTTACATTATGTTGTGTTTTCATTTCATTCTATTGTAAATTTCATTCTGCTATTGTGCCAAAAGCATCCTAGCCACAGGATGTAAACTGTGTCCTAGGTAAAATGAACATTCTTTTCAACTTCTTTGTTGTGTTTTTGTTTTACAGTTGCCAAAATGCCAGTCTTGAATGCAATAGGCCTACATTTTTGAAAAGTTTCAGATTGCTATTTACATACGAAAAAGAAATATGAGAAATGTGTTATTCCTGCAAACTTGCTCACTTTTTATAATAGCCTGTACGCCATAAAATATAAAAGTGACAAATGCATTTCTTTCAGGCACCTTCTCCAGTAGCTACCTTTAGAGCCATGTTCTCCAGTAGGAATATAATAGTAAATCAGGGACTGCAGATTGATAGCTATTTAGTTATAATCTTTGTCATCTCTTGTTTTTTATAATGCTTAATGTCTTAATGTCTGTACACTGTCCCTTCAAATAAAGACTAAACTAACTGAACTAAGGTAGACAACAGTTTCTCCAGTTCTTCCATCGATATGAGGACAGGTAAGTCCAGTTAACAATCACTGTTGGAATAATGTTCTAGGGCCATGGCAGTCATCTGCAAGCACTTTAGGTCTTGTTCTAAGAGTATGACATCAAATCATGACAAAGAGGTTTTTTTTTGCATCTGCCTGCTTCTTTATGAGTTATGTGCTGGAGTAGTGGGGGAGCACTCACCAAGCAGTAGTCATCCTATGTTGTGTTGTCATGTGCCTCAGTGCCTGTATGATTTGCAGTGTTCAGGAAGGCTGCTTGTCACCTAAAAAGGTCCATATTATGCCAGTTTGCCACAGGGCACCCGTTAGCCCCTCCCAACAATTTCTACAATTGAGTTACTAGTGAATGGACTTTTATGGTGGGTACTGACTGCTTGTCTCCTTGAAGATGTACACTAATTGTCTTACTGATAATGTTCCATAGTATGGCATCATACCTGTCTGTCTTGCATTATTCAATTGTTTCATTGCTGTTACTTTGAGTGCGGTCACCTCCCCACAGATTTTATGTATAGCCTGGCTCATGGCTCTTTTGGCTCCATAGAAGTAGAAAGATTAAAAACATATTATGGAATATTCCAGGCAAAGCAACAGCAGATAAGCAGGTGGTGGACCTTTTCCCCTTACATCAAGCACCTTTAAATGAAAAACACTATTCCTTTGAGTGACCTAGTTGCATGTGTCAATAGTAGTGGGACATCAAAATCACAATAGTCTATGTACTGGGGATTTTTGTTTTCATTCTTGTCTCTGTCTCTGAAGCTGAACAGATGTTATACATTTTATAGAAATGTAAAAGGCTTATAGTAATGAAAGAGCAACTTCAACTATTTTTTTTTCTCTGTCTCTACCTTGTAACTGCAGAATTAGACATCAAGCGTTCAAATATACAGCATATGGTTCAAACAGGCTTTGACACCTGTGACAACATGCCCGATAGCAGGGTATATTGTGACACTCATTTCTTACAAATATTTTTTAAAACTAAAAATAATGTTATTTATGATTCATGTATTTCTAGCTTTTGGATATACCTTTTACCTATATTTTTACATAAAAATGCTCATAGAAGTAATGAGTGTACAATATGTTGGGGGCATGTAAACTTCAGGCCTCTGTTTTGGGTCCATGTTTAGAGCATTATCCTGACTAAATTCTGTAAACTGCTTTTTAGTGCTCACAGTGTTGTAAAATTTACAAATTAACAATACCCTGTTAATATTTTTAATGTAATAGTTTGTTTTACAGAGGAAGGTTAACTCTGGGACAACTTGCTCTACTGTGATTGTGATAACTTATCTAAAGTGTGATTATAGTTACTTTCATCTGATCTGTTAGATTTGTTATTATAATAAAGTTATTCAGTATAATAGTCACGAAGTCTTTTTAAACCACTTGAAAAAACTAAAATGATGAGTAGCGTTGATTTATTTTATTATTATTCATATTTTTAACTAGTGTAGGTTCCGCGTGCATGTTGCCTTTTGAACTACGTCAACAAACATCGACTCAATATGACGTCATCTGTAAGCGCCCAATGTTAGAAATGGAGGCGCTTCAGAAATAGCACGGCGTTGTTCTTTTGCATTGTTATAAAAAATATCTGCGTGGACTGTTCAAAGTGCTCTATAACCTGGATGTCCCCGCATACATATCAAGCGTACCCATGCAGCCATTTTTGCGGTAAATGTTGGTTTACAATCTATCACGTTTGCTATCAATCGTTTAGCTGAGGCCCATATACTGTGTACGGCTTTAATAGCGACAAGAAAACTAGTGCTTCGAGTTGGTTTTGAGTTAAATAAAAGCAAATATGAACAGTCGACTACAAGAAATCCGGGAAAAACAGAAGCGTAGGAGGTCTCTTTTAGCCCAACAGGTAAGTGTACACACCACGCTTTAATCTATAATAAAATAAGATAATTATAAACATGAAACCATTTAGGAGACTCAACCATTTTGTGTTCACAGCTTGGTGCAAAAAGTGCAGACACAATCGGAGATGTTCTCAATAGCAAAGATGAGCAAAAGGAGATAGAGGAGACAAGAGAAACGTGCAGGTGGGATATGTACTGTTTATTATTTCTAAAAGTATAAGACTGTAATCCCAAAACAAGATAAACCTCTCCACTATAATCACTCACATCCATAACTCCGTAACTCCCCAAAGGCTTATGAATTTAACAAGTACACAATGTAACTTTTTCTCGTGGAGCATCTATGCTTTGCCTGCAATGTTCCACACTCCGTATGGCATTAAACATATTTCCGTGGAAACAAAGATGTGAACCACCAGGCAGTTGCAGATCTGGCACAAGCCTTCTCACAGTGTGAAGACATATTTCTCCAAGGTTTTTTTGCATTAAATTCAAGAAGTTGAATGTTGAAATGTGCAACAGGCAAAGTATTAATATCTCAATGGAGACAAGCAAGAGGCTTAACTTTGAGCACTAAATACTGATTCTTTTTTTTTTTTTTACGTTTGTCAACCTGCACCCATCTAAGACTCATTGCAGATATTTAGGTTCCATTAGTTGTGACTGCTAATGGGTATAGTTCCCTGCAATTCTTTGTTTTTGTATATTTAGCACTCCATTAGGAAAAGGTGTGGGAGCACTGATATATACTTATACTGTAAATTATCTTCACATCAAACACTACAAGTATACTTTAACGCTGGATATCAAACCAGGAAAAATGTATATACCGTATACATTTGGTGAGAATTGGCCTGCAACATTATATCATAGCATAAGTGATAAATTACATGTAGAAGACCTAACAAACATTTGTAGTGAAGTGTGTGTTTATGTAGTCTTGTGCTGTTCATATATAACAAATGCATCATTGATGTTTACAGGGCTTCGTTTGACAGTTCAACCTTGTCTTCAAAGAGGAAGGCATTGACTGAGGGTGATGACACAGAGGAAGATGTGGAAGAGCACAAAGTTAGATTAATTAATTGTTTGACTTGATTATAACAAAACTGAATAGAATCCCAACACCAGACAGAAGTATAGTATTTTTTTAATATTTAGATGTAAAAATATTTTCTTGTTCTGCTTTAGGAAGAAATGGAGATGCAGCAACCCGATGACAACAATCCATATGAGGAAGTGTACAAGGACTCTAGTACTTTTCTTAAGGTTGGGAACACTCTAATTAAATAATTTAAATGTAGGCCCTAATCTTTGGAAAGATAGTTTTGAATTGTCTGATTCTGCATTATTTGCTATTTTCACAAGGATTTAATCATTTGGGCAAATCATTGGGTGATACGATTCTCACAATACTCCTGTAATTAACAATCAGTTTGAATCTTTTTAAACATTGATGCATGCAGACTAGATACTACACATGTTTGCATCAAATTAGAATGACACCATACTATCCATTTACTGCAAACTGTATATTTTAGGAACACGCACATGTACTAGTACTTCATTCTATTCTTAAATATAGAGGAATTTATCTTTTTCTATCTTAATTTTGTAGGGAACTCAAAGCTTAAACCCTCACAATGACTACTGTCAGCACTTTGTCGACACAGGCCACAGGCCACAAAACTTTATCAGGGATGTAGGTGAGTCTGTCCAACAGAATACTGTTATATATTATTCTTACTGTATATTCCATAATCTGCGTGCCTGTTTGGGCACAATATTGTTTGTTGCAGGCTTGGCAGATCGCTTTGAAGAGTACCCTAAACTGAGAGAGCTGATTCGACTTAAAGATGAGCTCATTTCCAGTACCAACACTCCACCAATGTGTGACAGCGTTACTGTGTGTAAAACTCTTCGGATCATTAACTCTGAAGTCTCTGAAGTGTATGTGTTTCTATCTCCAGGTACCTTCAGGCAGACCCAGAGACCTTTGATTTGCAAGATTTGAAATGTAAATTTGATGTCATTCTGCTGGAACCTCCACTAGAAGAATACTACAGAGAATCTGGGATCAGCCACACTGAGCGTTTCTGGACATGGGATGATGTATGCATTCTTGCATGCCACAAATTCTATTTGTAAAATTGCAGTATTTATGTCGTGCCATTGTTGCAATGTTTTCTAAAGCTGTTTTTATTGTTGTTTTAGATTATGAAGTTGGAGATTGAAGAGATATCAGCTCTTCGCTCCTTTGTCTTTCTATGGTGTGGATCTGGGGAAGGATTAGATCTTGGTAGAATGGTAAATTATACTTAAGTAACTGTAATTTCCGGACTATTGAGCGCACCTCAATAGAAGCCGCATCAACAAAATTTTAAAAGAAAAAAAAAGTACATATATAGGCCACACTTGTCTATAAGTCGCATTTCTTTGTGTGTTTTCCATGAGGAGGGTGTGTGCATATTATTTTAATAGATCCATGGTAACTGTTCAAAACACAATCAAACTAGCATCTTTCTCGGTGCATCATCCCCCCCAGAGGCCTTGGCCTGTAAAAATCTATAGAAGGATTATCAGACTACGTCCCTTTGCACTCTACTGACTGAGACATTTCTTCTTGTCATTTGCTCACTCACCTGGATTTAACACCTGTGGGTCATTAAGATGTATCCCACCCACTAATGTTAATGTTTTAGTGCGGTGACAACAGTGCTAGCTAGGGTTGCAACTTCACGTTAACCGCACAGACAGTGGCACTTTCTGCACTCAGGCTGCGTGTGCATCCACTGTGTTAATAAACAACTAATCTGTCTATAAGTAAGCCGCATCATTGTTTAAACCGAAGGGTTCAAAGTATGTGTAAAAAGAAGCTTATAGGTTATAGTACGGAAATTATGATATATGTATATGCATATATTATCTGCTTGTTTGTTTGCCCATTTGTTTGTTCCCAGCATCCATAGGTCAAATGAAATGTTTTGTCTTCACTGACTTCAAAAGACAAATTCACTAATATATATGTAAAGCCATTGCTTCATAGTCATTAGTTCTTGCACTCTCACTGTCAGGTATAGAACAGCCTTATGTTCTTTGTTGCTCTTGTGACAAATGGGCGTGACTTGTCCCAGTGAGTCAGGTTATTTTTAACCACATCATAAGAGGCCTGTGTGCATTTCAAACTAATGTATGTAATGTCAGTATTCTGCTAAAACTATACATTACTTTTCTGTACCTTTTCAGTGTTTGAGAAAATGGGGTTTTAGACGATGTGAAGACATCTGTTGGATAAAGACAAACAAAAACAATCCAGGCAAGACAAAGGCACTGGATCCCAAAGCAGTATTCCAAAGGACAAAAGTACAGTATACACAAACATGTAACTCATTTTACTCACACGTGCAATAATTGGCAGCAGGGCTTAATGTAGCATAAATGCAGTCAAAAAGTACCGTTTTCATAATAAATACTCTTTTTAGGAACACTGCCTAATGGGAATCAAAGGTACAGTTCGTCGGAGCACTGATGGGGATTTCATCCATGCCAATGTTGACATTGACTTGATCATCACAGAGGAGCCTGAGATGGGAAACGTTGAGAAACCAGTTGAAATATTTCACATCATTGAGCACTTCTGTTTGGGACGTAGACGATTACACTTGTTTGGAAGAGACTCCACTATAAGACCAGGTCAGACAAATCCCCCTGCTTTTATTTGTTTTTGCCCACTGTAAGATGTTTCAATTTTACGTCTGTTTTGTCTTTCAGGGTGGTTAACAGTGGGCCCCACTCTCACAAACAGTAACTTTAATCCTGAAGCTTATGCCTCTTACTTTGCTTTGCCCAACTCCAACCTTTCAGGTTGTACTGAAGAAATTGAACGTCTGCGACCTAAATCTCCTCCAGCGAAACTCAAGTCAGACCGAGGTGGCGGGGCCCCTAGAGGAGGTCGTGGTGGTCCAAACACTGGAAGAGGTGGAGATAGAGGAAGAGAAAGAAACCGTCCAAATTTTCGTGGTGATAGGGGAGGGTTCAGAGGCAGAGGAGGCCCACACAGGGGATTTCCACCACGTTAGATTATCACCAGAACAGCATGGGTTTTTGACAACATTGTCACCGACATATACTATGTAAGTCTGATACTGAGGACAAAACTGTTTTTACAAATAAAACAAATTAAGTCAAACATGCTGAGACACTGCCATTCCAGTTGTAACCCACTGCCATAGTGATTACGTTCATTCAGAGAGACTTGTAGAGTTTCTTTTTTTTAGTAAAATTTTGCAATAAAAATGTTTTGTATTTCATTGTCTACACACAATAAATGCCATTCCCAATTTGTATTTGTTAAGCAATGGTTTGTATTGAAAATAATGTACCTGTAAATGAGGTAGTTGTTCTTGTTTTTCAGGTTTTTTAGTACACTGTCTGGATTGAAATCTCTGAACTAACTCGTTGGCCATATCTGTTCATGTGTTTCCTGCGTGCTGCATGAATGTGCAAGGCATGTCTTGGCTTATCACAAGGAATGTCACACACCTTTTGATCAGATGTGCACACACGTAAAGGGATGTTTGGGATGTTACTGTTTTTCTCCCTTTATTATATTTGTATTATTATTAGTACCCAGTTGTGTTTTATGCCATACACAAGTTACCCAGTTTTCTGTCACTGGGAAAATTAAATCAAAGTTGGAATTTGTATAGCAATTTTTTTCTTAAAAAAAATTAAATAAACCGCTATTACATATAGATCTGTATGCAGCATACAACTGACAAATGTGGAGTAAACATTTTTACCAGCTGCTTCATTACACGAAAGTATTAAGTTAAAGAGAACACTTTAACTTAATACTTTTATTCTCACTAAAAGTAACTTGATTAATTATGATGTTTTAATGAGAAAATTTTCTAGTTTTACTTTCTTGTAATGGCGGAAAAGCAGGTAAGCATTTAATCCATGTTAATTCTATGTTGCCACAGATTTGAAAGGCTTTAAATGTTAAAAAAAAAAAAAGTTAAAGCTTTAAGTTAAGCTCAAAGGTACCTTAAGTATTAAAGCTGTGGCAACTATACATTTTTTTTTTTTTTTCTGTACATTGAGTCATATTTAGCAGTTGCTCATTTTAATCTGCATTGCAAATTTTAACAGATTTTGGTTGAATGAATTGTAACCTACAATAACTTGGAATCACAACACACCAAGGCCGGATTATCCATATGGGCTAGTGGCACAGTGCCCAGGGGCACCAACCAGTGGGAGTGGTTAACATTTGAAAATGTTAAATGGCCATACATAACTCCTCATTAACACTAATTTCATAATAACAGTAATGATAATACTAAAATCAAGATTACATGACCATTCATTCCCCATTACATGCCCTTGTTAATGTGTACTATGTGTACGTGTGTGTGTCTTCAATAGTTTGTTATGAATGTCGAGATTGTGAACATAAATGTGCAGTGTGAAGCGTATGTGATGGAATATAAGAACAAATCTGTCTCCAGATTTTTAAGTGTAGAAAACCAAAGAAAGCGACCCTGTAATGGACTGAAGGGCTGCGCATAAAAGCATGGTGAGCATGTGCCTTTGAGTGAACCTCCATCTGCACTGTTGTATTGTAATCATTGTGTAACTGATTATATGTATTAGAGAGGCATTTATGGGTAGTGTGACCAGTGCCCAAACTCTCAGATTATATCTCTGATCTATGATATCTGAAGATAAACTTGTTAAAAGAGAGACAGTTCTTCAGCTGATCTGGATTAGTGACCGCACTTTGTACCCACAGGCTCACCTGTTGCTGTTTGGTCTTGTTCTGTCAAGCAAAGCTGGTACATTATCAGACAGCAGCAAAGTAGATTTCATCTAGTGGGGTGATGTGAAAATGCAATATGTTGGGTCAGCCAGTTTAAGTACAGATAAAAGCTTTAAGCCTTCAGGGAGGCCATTGAGGTATCTTAATAAATGAACCACAACTGATACCTTAATTAATACTTCATCCAGTGACGCTCTTGGAATGATAAAGTAATGGTAAAGTGCTTTATTTCAAAGAAAACACATACACAATATACATGCAAATACAAGACACAGCAACATGGGAGAAAAAAAAGTGCTAACTATGTAGCAACTTCAGGTGGCTGCCAGTAGTTTAATAGTGGTGCCAATAATTCAAGTTCTGCCAGTTATGATGTGCTATGATGTGCATCTTATAAATAGTCCATCCCTCATAATAAGCAGCTCACATTTGGACTTCAAGGGACAGGTTGCTACTGTATGCAGTCATCTTTCACTAAGGACTAACATCTGAAGTTAACCATACTACTATGCACAATTGGTGAGTAAATTATCTTTTTTTGTTTTATATAAAATAGTGATCATTGTATATATATATATATATATATATATATATATATATATATATATATACACATATATATATATATATACACACACACATATATATATATATATATATATATATATATATATATATATATATATATATATATATATATATATAGATAGATAGATATAGATAGATAGATAGATAGATAGATAGATAGATAGATAGATAGATAGATATAATATTGATTCACAGTAAGAACAATGGCTTAATGGCCACTGTAACTGTTAAATGTTAAAATGCATGTGACAGAAGGGACATCCACACAAAAAATAATCAGCCAAAGCACAGTGACAAATTCTGTGACCACCTCTAATCAAAAACGTACTTGCCCAACAAATAAAAGTAAATAAAATATCATTACCATAAAACTAATACAAAACAGACAAATTTCACAAAAACACAACCATCATTTTTTGCCAACCACTGGAAGTTTTGGGATGTGTGACTTGCTTCTGTATTATTATTATTATTATTATCATTATTATTATTATTATTAGGCCCGAGCGCCAGAGGCTGGCGAAGGGCCTATTAGTATCGCAAAGCGATGCTCCAAGTGGCCGAAAAATTGAATGGTGCGACGTGACTCGCCCGTAGTGACCAGGGACCCTCGCCATCACGTAGCAATGCGCCAGAGGTTTCCGAAAATGTATAGTTTGTCGGCCAAAAAAAAGCGGAACATTGTTCTCGTATCGGTTGGTTATTCTCCTAACCAACTCACCCATTTTTCACCCACTGAACAATGATAAAAAGTCCTGAAATTTTGCCATCTGGTAAAACTCGCGCTTCTCTAACTTTTGGCTATTTTCATTTTCCAAAAATAAATAAAATGGCTCATCAGCGCCCCTAAACGACTCAAAAATGCATTAGGGAATACGAATGACACACAAAAAAATTTGCATGTACAATCATAAAATTTGACACAGAAGTCGATCATGTCAAGACAAGGAAAAAATATTACGCCAACACCGTGCGCTCCACTAGGGGGCAGTAATATTGGCTTAAAGTTGGCTAAGCTTTTACCAACTCCTCCGAGGGTGTTCACCCGAACAAGCTCAAATTTGGTCCACATTATCTCAAGACATGGAACATCAAAAGTTATCCACATTTTTCACACACGTCTTACGGTCTCTGAGCAGTGAAGCAACAAAAAAATGCACACAATTTTGGAGATTTACAAATTGCTCCCATTTGCTCAAACGAACTCTGATTTCAGTGAAATTTTAAACAGTTGTTAAACTCTCTGCCCTGAAGCTACTTAATGTGAAAATTATTAATTTGGCGCATTAGCGCCCCCTATAGATTGAAACAAAACTTTGGCCGATTTCATTCAAATTTTAATCGCGGGTTCACACCCCGACCCTGAACAGATTTATATAAGAAAATCTCAGGTGGGCGCAATAGCGCCCCCTCGGGAAATTGCACGGTTGTGCCAAAATTTACTTTGTCGTAGACATATAAAATTTGGTACACAGATTCATGACATGGTCTCGATCAAACAAGTGTAGGACAATCCCATGCCATTTCCCCATCGTGTTGCCATGGTGACAGGCTAAACATCTGACCTCGCCAATAGGATGCTCAACAAAAACTTTGGTGTAGCCAAACCAAATTTGGTACACAGATGCATCATGGGAATAGGAACAAAAAAGTATATTACGTGGTTGCTAGGCAACCAACAGGAAGTCGGCCATATTGGATTGATCGGGCGACCTGGCGACGAAGGCACAAATTCCTGTCCTCATATTTGAACGAACTCGTCCTAGGGCGTTTGACCCAGACTCACCAGAATCATTCTGTATCATCTAGACAAGTGGGACATTAAAATTTGTTAAAGCTTTTTAAAAGGTCAAACGGTGTGACCATCAAACTTCAACGCCTGATAATTTTCGCAAACTTGGGCCAATTTCGCTCATATTTTAACCGTGGGTTCACACCCCGACCCTGTACAGATTGGTGTAAGAAAATACAAAAATGGGTGCAATAGCGTCCCCTAGAAAATTTGTATGTAAAAATAAAGTTTTTTTTGTCACAGATATACAACATTTGGCACCCACATTTGTGACATGGTCTCGATTAAAAAACTCAATGATGCTCACACCCCATTTACATTGTGTTGCCATGGCAACAAGCCAAAATTGTATCCTTGACAATGGGACGTCCTGACACAAACGCTGGCGTAGCCAAACCAAATTTGGTATTGAGATGCATCATGGCAATAAGAACAAAAATGTATATTGTGACCACGCCCCTTTACAAACCGGAAGTCCGCCATCTTGAATATTTTCTTTTGCCAAATTTTGTAAATTGCAGGGTTAAATTAAGATTTTTAGGGCTAGGGTTGGGGCTATGGTTAGGATTACGATTAGGGTAAGGTTTAAGTTTAGGCTTATTAGGGTCCGTGTGAGGTGCGGCATTTGCGTGCTGCGGCGTTTGCGGGGCGCGGCGCAAGCATGAGCGAGGGCCGATCATTGCCGCTTGCGGCTATATTTATTATTATTATTATTATTATTATTATTATTATTATGTTGACTAGTATTCAACTCTTCTTATCACTCAGCATCTGAGTCCATTCCATGAACCTTTCGGCTGAGAGAGTTTATATGTGTTTCTTTGGAGTTCATGTGTAGAGATGCTGCATCATATTTGCTCTATGAACTTGTCCATTCCCTTTTTGTATAGATCCAAGAGCTCCCACAATCATCAGGACAGTGGATGTTGTCCTGTCATGTTGGCACAACCTTATATCCATTTCCAAGCCTTAATTCTCAGATTAAAACCCCAAAACACTTTTTTGCAGAACCTAAATAATAAATTATTTAACCATAGACTGCAACTGTAACTCTCTCTCTCTGCACGTATGCTACAGTCTGTGTACCTAAATACTGCAGACTCTCACCACAGTCCATAGACCGAAGACACAAAGGACAAAACTGAATGCACAGCAATCACAGTATGAAGAGATTCCATTATCACATGATTATACACAACGTAAAACACTTCTGTAATGAAAACCTGTCTGAACCAGGTTTTCATTCTGATACTTTGAGGTCCAAGACGGATATCAACTGCTAAAAAGCACAGATTTCTGTGTTGCTTTTTTGTTCCCTAAGTGATTGTACAAAATTGTACACATATTTATAGCATTGACCTCACTCTCAAACCATCAAAAACCGTGTGATACTGGCCCTTCAGGTCTCTGACTCCCTGTGTGACAGTGGACAGTGATGGTTACATAACTTTATAAATCTGTGGACAGTGTTTATATTTTAACCACAAAGTGTCATTTTTACCAGTCTGTTACGCTTTGTTCCCAAAGTTAATTTCTGAATTGTTTTGTATCTTGTCTGAAGAGTTTTACAAAGTGTGCAAAAGATTTGCCAGATTTATAAAACGTTTCAGAAAATGTGCCAAAGCAGAATTTCATTACACCCTTGTGTCCTACCTGAAAGATTCTCAAAGCTGGTTGGGACAACCTTAACACTGTTGTGTGTTTATATTTAGCAAATATGCATGTTTCAAGTTGATCTATCTATTTTATATTTATATATAAAATATGCATAGGTAAGATTTAATACAAATTATAATAGTTTTATTAATTAATTTATTTGACTGTGGCAGAGTGACAGCAGGTAACAGTGTGCACAATGTCTAATGTCAATTTTATTTCTATAGCACATGTTATTAAAAAAAAAAAAACAGCTGCCCAAAGAGCTTTACATGCACAATAATTGTTTATTATTTCAGGGTATTAAATAGTACATATACACACACACACACACACAAATATATGTATATGTCTATACATATATATATATATATATATATATATATATATATATATATATATATATATATATATATATATATATATATATATATATATATATATATATATATATATATATATATATATATATATATATGGAGAGACAGAGATTAGAAGAAATGTGTCTAAAGGGAAGAGAAGATTGCAAAGGTAAACTGTTCCACAGTTTGGGTGCAGCCACAACAAAGGCCCTATCAAATAGATTTTCCAATCAAGATCTGGGCACATTTAAGCTCAGTCAGGCTGTCAAGGGACAGGACGTTTAAACATTTAAAACCACTGACAAGGATGTTGTGTTTTAATTTTAGTTTTTCCTCGAGTGATGCAGAAAAGAGGGAGCCACTATCAGTGTGAATGTTCATGTATTCACATTCATTCACAACAGTCACACAAACTGGCTGTATTAAATTGCACAAAATTAATTATTTTGTTATTATTTAATTACCTACAACTGCAACTTTCTGAGGGACTGTTGGACTAAAATCATTCACTGTAGTTTGAGACTTGGCTAATTGTAATACAGTAAAGTGTATCTGGACTGAGATACTGGACTGAGCATTTGCTGTCTGTACTACTACACCAATAACACAAACGAATAATGAAAGAGTGGACCAGTTACAATGACCAGTATAGTTTTATTCTAGTATACTTTCATTCTAATTTACATTTTGAAAACTTAAAGCTCATTTGTAATGGCTAATGCCTTTTAAATTGTATCATCAGAAACAGGTCATGAGTCACAGTAAAATAATTTTGTATTTATTTCATTGTTTTATAGGAAAGAGAAGATGAAACTCCCTATATTCCTGCTCCTGATAGGTAATAATTGCATTATACTTTTTTTTTTTTTTTTTTGAGTAATGACATTTTAACTTCACTAGTTTTGTAAATTGGCTTACTTTGTTGCTTATTATTTCACAGGACTAACGGTGGTGCAAGCAGCTAATACAACTACAACAACAGCTCCTCCAACTACAACGACAGCTCCTCCAACTACAACAACAGCTCCTCCAACTACAACGACAACTACTCCAACTACAACGACAGCTCCTCCAACTACAACAACAACTACTCCAACTACAACAACAGCTCCACCAACTACTAACACAACAACAGCTCCTCCAACTACAACAAGCTCTCCAACTACAACGACAGCTCCTCCAACTACACAACAGCTCCTCCAATACAACAACTACTCCAACTACAACGACAGCTCCTCCAACTACAACAACAACTACTCCAACTACAACAACAGCTCCCCCAACTACAACGACAACTACTCCAACTACAACAACAGCTCCTCCAACTACAACAACAGCTCCTCCAACTACAACAACAGCTCCTCCAACTACAACGACAGCTCCTCCAACTACAACGACAGCTCCTCCAACTACAACGACAGCTCCTCCAACTACAACGACAACTACTCCAACTACAACGACAGCTCCTCCAACTACAACGACAGCTCCTCCAACTACAACGACAGCTCCTCCAACTACAACGACAGCTCCTCAACTACAACGACACTACTCCAACTAACAACGACAGCTCCAACTCCAACTCCACAACTAACACAGCTCCTCCAACTACAACGACAGCTCCTCCAACACAACGACACTCCAACTACACAACAGCTCCTCCAACTACAACGACAGCTCCTCCAAACTACAACGACAGCTCCTCCAACTACAACGACAGCTCCTCAACTACAACTCCTCCAACTACAACGACAGCTCCTCCAACTACAACGACAGCTCCTCCAACTACAACGACAGCTCCTCCAACTACAACGACAGCTCCTCCAACTACAACTCCAACTACAACGACAGCTCCTCCAACTACAACGACAGCTCCTCCAACTACAACGACAGCTCCTCCAACTACAACGACAGCTCCTCCAACTACAACGACAGCTCCTCCAACACAACGCTCCTCCAACTACAACGACAGCTCCTCCAACTACAACGACAGCTCCTCCAACTACAACAAGCTCCTCCAACAGCTCCTCCAAACTACAACGACAGCTCCTCCAACTACAAACGACAGCTCCTCCAACTACAACAACAACAGCTCCTCCAACTACAACGACAGCTCCTCCAACTACAACCACAGCTCCTCCAACTACACCACAAGCTCCTCCAACTACTACAACAACAGCTCCTCAACTACAACGACAGCTCCTCCAACTACAAACCACAGCTCCTCCAACTACAACGACACAGCTCCTCCAAACTACAACGACAGCTCCTCCAACTACAACGACAGCTCCTCCAACTACAACGACAGCTCCTCCAACTACAACAACAAGCTCCTCCAACTACAACACAAACAGCTCCTCCAACTACACAACCACAGCTCCTCCAACTACAACGACAGCTCCTCCAAGCTCCTCCACAACAACAACAACAGCTCCTCCAACTTACAACCACTCCTCCAACTACAACACAGCTCCTCCAACTACAACGACAGCTCCTCCAACTACAACACACAGCTCCTCCAACTACACACAGCTCCTCCAACTACAACGACAGCTCCTCCACTACAACACACTCCTCCACACACACCACAGCTCCTCCAACTACAACCACAGCTCCTCCAACTACAACACAGCTCCTCCAACTACAACCACAGCTCCTCCAACTACAACCACAGCTCCTCCAACTACAACCACAGCTCCTCCAACTACAACGACAGCTCCTCCAACTACAACCACAGCTCCTCCAACTACAACCACAGCTCCTCCAACTACAACCACAGCTCCTCCAACTACGACAGCTCCTCCAACTACAACCACAGCTCCTCCAACTACAACCACAGCTCCTCCAACTACAACCACAGCTCCTCCAACTACAACCACAGCTCCTCCAACTACAACCACAGCTCCTCCAACTACAACAACAGCTCCTCCAACTACAACGACACCTCCTCCAACTACAACGACAGCTCCTCCAACTACAACGACAGCTCCTCCAACTACAACGACAGCTCCTCCAACTACAACGACAGCTCCTCCAACTACAACAACAGACAGCTCCTCCAACTACAACGACAGCTCCCCCAACTACAACGACAGCTCCCCCAACTACAACGACAGCTCCCCCAACTACAACGACAGCTCCTCCAACTACAACGACAGCTCCCCCAACTACAACGACAGCTCCCCCAACTACAACGACAGCTCCCCCAACTACAACGACAGCTCCTCCAACTACAACGACAGCTCCTCCAACTACAACGACAGCTCCTCTAACTACAACGACAACTCCCCCAACTACAACGACAGCTCCCCCAACTACAACGACAGCTCCCCCAACTACAACGACAGCTCCTCCAACTACAACGACAGCTCCTCCAACTACAACGACAGCTCCTCCAACTACAACGACAGCTCCTCTAACTACAACGACAACTCCCCCAACTACAACGACAGCTCCCCCAACTACAACGACAGCTCCTCCAACTACAAACGACAGCTCCTCCAACTACAACGACAGCTCCTCCAACTACAACGACAACTACTCCAACTACAACAACAGCTCCTCCAACTACAACGACAACTCCCCCAACTACAACGACAACTACTCCAACTACAACAACAGCTCCTCCAACTACAACAACAGCTCCTCCAACTACAACGACAACTCCCCCAACTACAACGACAACTACTCCAACTACAACAGCTCCTCCAACTACAACGACAACTCCCCCAACTACTCCAACTTACAACACAACTACTCCAAACAGCTCCTCCAACTACAACAACAGCTCCTCCAACTACAACGACAACTCCCCCAACTACAACGACAACTCCCAACTACAACAAACAACAACTACAACAACAGCTCCTCAACTACAACAACAGCTCCCCCAACAAATACGACAGCTCCCCCAACTACCACTACAACACCGGCACCAACTACTACAATTGCCCCTTCCACAACTCTGCTTTCATTCTCATTATCTCAGAGTTTTACAGAAGACCTTAATGATCCCACCTCACCAGGTTATCAGGCTTTAGAAAGTAGTGTTACATCAAAGGTAAGGAAAAGAGTTTATTTTCTGATCAGTCACGCACATGTTATTATAATATTTTTTGTGTGTCATAGGTCGATGAAGTTTTCAGGGAAAAACGTGGTTTTAGAAAGAGCCGAGTGAAGGATTTCAAGTAATGTCATGGAATAATTTGGTTTCTAGATTGAGTGATCTGATATTATATTAACATTTTTCTTTTACAGACGTGGGTCAGTTATTGCAAACATGGCTTTGGATTTTGATCCAGAGACTGAAACTAACACTACTGATATTGCTCAAACATTCATAACTGCTGCATCAAGCCCAACTTTTGGTCTGCCTGTTAACACATCAAGTGTCTCAGCGGCCTGTACGTATGGCTTTCAAATTCTTGCTTCACCTCTCTGTGCATTTTATAAATATAAATATTTGTATCTATATCTCTCAACAGTACAACCAATTACAACGACAGCTCCTCCAACTACAACAACTACTCCAACTACAACAACAGCTCCTCAACTACAATGACAACTCCACACAACACACTCCAACTACAACACAGCTACTAACTCCAAACTACAACAACAGCTCCTCCAACTACAATGACAACTCCTCCAACTACAACGACAACTACTCCAACTACAACAACAGCACCACCAACTACCACAACAGCTTCTCCAACTACAATGACAACTCCCCCAACTACAATGACAACTACTCCAACAGCTTCTCCAACTACAATGACAACTACTCCAACAGCTTCTCCAACTACAATGACAACTACTCCAACAGCTTCTCAACTACAATGACAAAACTCTCCAACTACAACAACTACTCAACAGCTTCTCCAACTACAACAACTACTCCCAACAGCTCTCCAACTACAATGACAACTACTCCAACAGCTTCTCCAAACTACAATGACAACTACTCCAACTAACAATGACAACTACTCCAACAGCTTTCTCCAACTACAATGACAACTACTCCAACAGCTTCTCCAACTACAATGAACAACTACTCAACAGCTTCTCCAACTACAATGACAACTACTCCAACAGCTTCTCCAACTACAATGACAAACTAACCAACAGCTCTCTCCAACTACAATGACAACTCCACAACAGCTTCCAACTACAATGACAACTACTCCAACAGCTTCTCCAACTACAATGACAACTCCCCCAACTACAATGACAACTACTCCAACAGCTTCTTCAACTACAATGACAACTCCCCCAACTACAATGACAACTACTCCAACAGCTTCTCCAACTACAATGACAACTCCCCCAACTACAATGACAACTACTCCAACAGCTTCTCCAACTACAATGACAACTCCCCCAACTACAATGACAACTACTCCAACAGCTTCTCCAACTACAATGACAACTACTCCAACAACTACCCCCAACTACAATGACAACTACTCCAACAGCTTCTCCAACTACAATGACAACTACTCCAACAGCTTCTCCAACTACAATGACAACTCCCCCAACTACAATGACAACTACTCCAACAGCTTCTCCAACTACAATGACAACTACTTCAACTACAACAACAACTACTTCAACTACAACAACAGCTCCCCCAACAAATACGACAGCTCCCCCAACTACCACTACAACACGAGCAACAACTACTACAACACCGGCACCAACTGCACCTTCCACAACTCTGCTTTCATTCTCATTATCTCAGAGTTTTACAGAAGAACTTAATGATCCCAACTCACCAGTTTATCAGGCTTTAGAAAGAAATGTTACATCGAAGGTAAGGAAAAGAGTTTATTTTCTGATCAGTCACGCACATGTTATTATAATATTTTTTGTGTGTCATAGGTCGATGAAGTTTTCAGGGAAAAACGTGGTTTTAGAAAGAGCCGAGTGAAGGATTTCAAGTAATGTCATGGAATAATTTGGTTTCTAGATTGAGTGATCTGATATTATATTAACATTTTTCTTTTACAGACGTGGGTCAGTTATTGCAAACATGGCTTTGGATTTTGATCCAGGGACTGGAACTAACACTACTGATATTGCTCTAACATTCATAACTGCTGCATCAAGCCCAACTTTTGGTCTGCCTGTTAACACATCAAGGGTCTCAGTGGCCTGTACGTATGGCTTTCAAATTCTTGCTTCACCTCTCTGTGCATTTTATAAATATAAATATTTTTATCTATATCTCTCAGCAGCACCACCAACTACTACTCCAACTACAACGACAACTCCCCCAACTACAACGACAGCTCCTCCAACTACAACAACAACTACTCCAACTACAACGACAGCTCCTCCAACTACAACAACAACTACTCCAACTACAACGACAGCTCCTCCAACTACAACAACAACTACTCCAACTACAACAACAACTACTCCAACTACAACGACAGCTCCTCCAACTACAACGACAACTACTCCAACTACAACGACAGCTCCTCCAACTACAACAACAACTACTCCAACTACAACGACAACTCCCCCAACTACAACGACAAGTACTCCAACTACAACAACTACTCCAACTACTACAACAACAACTACTCCAACTACAACAACAACTCCCCCAACTACAACGACAGCTCCTCCAACAGCTTCTCCAACTACAATGACAACTACTACAACAACAACTACTCCAACTACAACAACAACTACTCCAACTACAACGACAGCTCCTCCAACTACAACAACAACTACTCCAACTACAACAACAACTACTCCAACTACAAAACAACTACAACAACAACTACCAACAACTACTCCAACTACAACAACAACTACTACAACAACAACTCCAACACAACTACAACACAACTACTCCAACTACAACGACAGCTCCTCCAACTACAACAACTACTCCAACTACCAACAACTACACTACAACAACAACTCCAACTACAACGACACTCTCCAACTACACAACTACACAACTACTACAACAACAACTACTCCAACTACAACAACAGCTCCTCCAACTACAACGACAGCTCCTCCAACTGCAACAACAGCTCCTCCAACTGCAATAACAGCGAGCCCCCCGACCACAACAAGTACAACTGCATCCACTAATCCTCCATCTGGCAACGAAGCTATTATATTTTTGCAGTTTGCTCTGGACCAGAATTTCACACAAGGCCTGACATATCCAAGCACGGAGGAGTATCGAGCGTTAGCGAGTAAATGTAGGGGTGAGGTAAGATATATACGCTATCTGTCTCACAGGAAATAAATCCATGCCTTCACCTGGTTATTGATGTTTTCGTATGTTTTATGTGCTCATGCTATAGCTCAACAGAATAGGCAAAAATGGCTTTAAGAACTCCTTCAGCCGCGCCTTGATCAGTGCATTTGCGTAAGCCAGTTTCATTTAAACATTGAACCTTTGACTTTTTCTATGATGATTGAACGAATGGTGCTAATTATTGTATTTTCTGATTGCAGGAGTGGTTCTGTCAAGGTCAATTCAACCCTCATCTTCCAAAATGAAAATCTAAGGCCAGAAGTAGGCACAACACTCAATGTATTCAGGACAGAACTACTCCGTTCTACTGTTCTGCCTAATGTCATTCGAGGAAGTGTCGATGCACGTACGTACAAAAAGATAGTTCAAAGTTGTTCTCCAACTGCCAGACTGTTTTTTAATTTAACCAAATGTGTTCTCATTTCAGAATCATCTGGAAGAAGTCTACACCGCTCAGTACTTCCCATGTCTATTTTGACAATCATTTTGCTGTTTTTTACACAAATCTTAGCAGATGTATAGCTAAGGTGCAAGGTTTTTTTTTCTTGTTTTGTGTAAACATGTGTCATTTTATGGTGTAACTCTAAAATCCAGAAATAGCATAATGATTTACCAATATAATGTGGTAGAAGATGTGCTGTGACAGGTTTACATTTTCCACATTCAATTACTGTTACCTCTTTTGACAGATTCTGTAATTTAGTCTTTATACAACTGTGAACAATAATCTCATTATATTATTTCATACTTAATGCTTGCTACAGTTAAGTGCAAAGTGCAAAGTGTTCTGCTTAGTAACCTTGAAAGTTGAATGCTACTCTGTTTTGTGATACAAACTGCAGAAGCTCCGAAAGATTCCCAGGGTAAAACTATAAGCAGAAGCTAGCATTTCTAAAAGGACAATACACAAGTTTTGGTTAGACTCTCAGACCCTCAGATTCTCAGAAACTCTCCACTAGACACTTGTAGACTTTCTGATGTTTTTTTGCCCATGTGTCACCCATTAAAGGTACTGTAGAACGATCTTTGTGCCTCTCCGCCTGTTTTTTCTTTTTGCAAGATACAACAGAAATCAACAGTAAAACTTGGTGTGGGTGTGGGCACCCATTTTTTGTATTTGGGCAACATAAATAAATGGACTTTTCTTTTTGTTTTTCTTCTTTTTTTTTTTTTTTTTTTGATGCGAGCATCTAAAACGAGACACAGAGAAAATTTGTTTTCTTTTTCTGAGATTTTCATGAAAGGTGTCTGATGTGACGCTTAGTGCTGAAGAGAAATAGGCCTATAGAGAATAAGGCACCAAGGTGCGAGAATTTACAGAAATTAAAAACTCAGGAAACAAGAAAAGGGCTAAGTTTTAACCCTGCAGTGTGTGTGTTTGAGACTTTAAGTCTTCAATACACATCGAGTGCGAAGTATCCTTACAAGGAATCTTATTCCAGGTAACGTGCATTTATATTGACTAATTACTGAGGAAACTAAGGGAGGACTGTTTTAATCTCACAGTGTGTGTGTTTCATTTCTTTGTCCATCTTTAAACACACATGGTGTGTGAAGTATTCTTGTGAAGCAACCTTATTTAACCTATTGAAGTTGAATATTTCTGAATAATTCTAATAGTGATTTTGCAATTTTATTAAATCAGAGATTTTGGAAAAATGCAAATTGTGCTTTTGGCATTTTGTTGATTTAGACATTTTTGCATCATTTTAATTGTGCTTTTGACATTTTGATATATTAGTAATTTTAGCATTTTTAAAATTGTGACTTTTAAAGTTTTGATATACTAGCCATTTTTGCATTATTTTAACTGCTCAATTGTCATTGCTCTTTTTTTAATTCAAATTGTGATTTTGACATTTTTATTGAGATACATTTTCAGTTTTTGCCATAGTAGCCATTTTTGCAATTTTTAAATTGTAATTTTAAAATGTTGATATATTAGCAATGTTTTGCACTTTTTTTTACGTGCACTTTTGAAATTCTACCGTATTAGTTATTTTGTGAGTGTATATTTTTATTATATTTTGTTAATTATTTTTGAAGAGATCTAAATGTGTTTTTGAAATTTTATTGTAAACACCATTTAAATTTTTTATTTATTTATTTTTTAATAGCTCTGAATAGTTTTAATCTAAATTCTGACATTTTATTAAAAGAAATATTTCTAAATAGCTTTAACAGTTGTCTTGAGATTGCATTAATCAAGAATTAGATACCTTTCCACCGTTATTATTATTCTTGGTAAATTGCTGAAATAAAACTGAACTAATCACATCACAGTTTGTAAAATTTACCAAACTTTCTGATCATCTGTGTGGCAAAATCCGTGAAGATGAATCTGATCCAAAACAAGCTAAAGAAGCACACATTATTGTGCACATCTGAAATAGACTGTTCGTGGTGAAATGTTGAATCAAGCAAAAATCACTGAGCATGATGACAAATTCATGTTGGCCATGAAGATGTACAAGTGGGCAAAACAATTACAAACACAAGAAGTGAACAGCAGCTGGCATCCATCCATGTCATGAAAACGAATACCAAATGGTCTACATCTGGAAAAGAAGAATCAGATCAGATAAAGAAGCAAAGAAGAGAGCTGCACCTTGTAACGAGTATCCAGCAATCAAAACCCTCATGAGTGGGGATAAGAACTAAGATATCAGAGGCAGAGGTCACTGATATTCAACAAGAAATAATCCAAGTTGTCATAGCAACAATGACATTGATGAAGATGAAGATAAGCACTCGATAACCCCTGTAAACAGGCACTGGAATTAGAGTATTGTTTTTCTCTGCTCTCATCTAGGATTACCCAAGCTGGTGCAGGACTCACTCAGCGATATAGTGGGCCTCTGCTTAAAGCTCAAAGAAGAATTCAGTGCTCTCTGCAACCATCATGCCACCAAATGGTTGGCAAGCAAAGAAGATATGCAACAATAGAAACAAAGCATGGAAGTGGCTGCCCTAAAACCACAACTGCAAAAGTTGCAGGCTGAAGTCAAAGACAAGAAGAAGTCAGACAAGCCCACTAAGGTCATGACAGTCAATGAAGATCTGGACTAACTTCCAGTAACAACCAACAAACTGGTATAAAAATGATTATGCAACTTCAGCCACCTGAACAAGCGGCAGCACCACAAGCTCCACAACAGCATACCTCACCAGCTCGCCAGTGCAACCAATGCAGTTGTTATGGATTTCACTAACACGGGCCCCAACTTGCACATCTCCGGTTATCAATATATGCTAGTCATTGTCCGTGAATACACCAAATGCTAAAGAAGTTGCACTTGCTAAATTATGTGATACCTAGGTTTGGCATCCCTTATCAGATCAGATCAGATCAGATAACACATTTCACAGCTAAAATAGTAAAAGATCTGTTGAAGTACATTTTGTAATGTAGCATTTATCACCACTCTAGCCAAGGTCAGGTTAAATGCATGAATGCAGCCATAAAGAGAAAACTAGCTAAAGCATGGTGCACTAAAACACTTGATTAGGTCACAACTCTACCTTTTGATCTCTTGAACATTAGGAACAGTGTTAACAGAATCACCAGCTCCACATGCTTTTGACTGGGTGAGATATGCACAAACAATAGGTCCTTTTGATTTTGATGCTTCATTTTTGGACTGGGACAAGCAGCATCGTGAATATGTCAAGATGTTACAAACGATAGTAATTGAACTTTACAAGTGCAGATTCAACAAGGAAATTCCAGAGTGTGGTATCACCTTTCCCACTGCATTAAGTGTTCGGTGGAGCCCATGCAACACTCCTTGACAGCATCCCAGGGTGACATATGGCCCTGCTGAGGTTCCACAACAAGATGGCTCCAAATCCTTGCCAATCACCTTTGGGGCTCCAGAGGGAAAAAAAGGCAGAGAAAAGGGGGGAGTACAGGTTATACTCTCTTTTTCTCTGCACAGTGCCTGAACTTTTACACTTGTTTTTACTTACATAAATTTTTCTTGTTTTAGCTGCTTTTATACTGGCATCTGATCAATTATGAAGGAGGAGTCCTTGGATAACTCAACGGCCAATATTCCATTGCGAGCGTCACATAATATGACTCCGGCTGGATGGAACAAACAATATTCAGGTATGAGACTGGGAGCACTGAAAAGACCTAGAATCCAAAGGGCCATTGACCCAAAGCCAGGCATAAGGACTAAAATGACTATATAATGTAAATGCTAGGGCTGGGTATCATTAAGAAATTGACGATACGATACATATCTCGATACATAGGCACGATACGATACATATCTCGATATATTCCACTTTCAATTCAGTATGATATATTTCAAATCAATTCGATACAGTTTAATAAAAAAAATAATGGCTAAATCTTGGCTGTGATACTAAAAGTCTTTGTTAAACGACTCCTTGTGCAAAGTTAACAGGAAACAGTTATTTTAGTCATCAAAACCGTGAAAATGTCAAATGTGTTGCATGAACAAATTTACTTCCTCTAAACAAGCAACAAAACTGTAGCACTGTAACAAGATAATGTAGTAAAATATACAAAAAAATATTCTTGGCGATATATCGATACAGCAGCCCACAATATCGATGCTGTATCATCACATTAAACGATACGATATGTCGATATTTCAATATTTTTGCACACCCCTAGTAAATGCACATAGCTAATTTTGACTTGTTCAATATCATAAATTGTGGAAACAATACCTACAAATATCAACAGGCAGAAGACTTTATTTGCATTATTTTACCTAGTGCCTGTAAAGTTAAAGTTGAAGTTAAATTCCAGGTGGAATAATTTAGGTTGAATGTAAATAAAAGACAAGACACCTCATCACAATACCAAGGCCCCTGTTAAATATTAAACTAATCTATCTCTTGAGAAAATTATAAAAATCAATTAGCATCAATGTAAATGCTAATATGTGGCTAAAAATAAGTACAATACACCACTCAAACGTTAAATGAACATTGTTTGCTTGTACTGCAGCTAGGCCTCAGTTAATGGTGGTTTCTTACACTTACAGGTGTCCATTAGTAGTTTTCAGACCTGGTATTTTCAGTTAGTGATTAAACCTTAGAACTCACTGTATTACAACATAATTTTGCATTCTAACAGTTTTAATTTTAACTGCCCCCCATCTGTATAACATTGTCCTATAGAATGTTGTGATGTCATCTGAAACCCAGCAACTGAGACTATTTTGTTTATTATTTTAAAATTTACCTGCTATAACAACTATAATTATTAGTTATAATTCAGTATCCCGGTCATATCTGCCAATTCCACTCAATTTAAATGTGACTGTTCCGATTAATGAAACCAACTCAAACAGTCAGTAGCCCGTGCAGCATGTATGGTGGCTTTGCACTGACCTTAAATTATATGCAATCTTATCATCACTATTTCACTATTGATCACTATTTAGATCTAAATCAAAGCCCCTTGTAAGTGCTCTTTGTCTCATCCAAATTGCTGTCGGAGTGTCTATATGATTACTTTAAAGTTGTACTTTTGTGTTTATAAACCTATAAAAAATAAAAGCTAAAGAATCCTATAAAAAGAGTGATGCAGCTTGCTAATCTGTTTTATTTCAGATATTGCGTCTGGCTATTATACTGTGTTTTAATTTGGGAAAAGCTTAGTGTGATCACATGTGTTTGTTACTAAAAGGGGGAATTGTGAACAATAATCTCACTGTATTCATTTCATCCTTCATGTTTGCTACAGTTAAAGTGCAAAATGTTCTGCTCAGTACCTTGAATGATGAATGCTACTCTGTTTTGTGATACAAACTGCAGAAGCTCCAGAAGATTCCCAAAGTAAAACTATCAGCTAAAGATAACATATATAAATGGACAATACAAAAGCTTTAGTTAGACTCTCAGACCCTCAGACTCCAAGAACCTCTCTGTTAGACACTTAAGATAAGATAAGATAAGATAATCCTTTATTGTCTCCCATGGGAGAAATTTGTCTTGGGACAGGGGGTAACATGTTTTATCAAAAAACAGGACAACACAACACAAAGCAGCACATAAACAAACACCATAAAACAAAGTAAATATGAGACCAGTATGACCACGAGTGATGCACCAACACGACCCTTAAATTATCCTTAACAGGCCCTTGCATTCTTCTGTTCTATTAATTATTGCACATTCCCTAAGCCTATGTGCAGTTTTAGTTATAATTATTGCACATTCCCTAAGCCTATGTGCAGTTTTGATTGCCCTAAGCCTATGTGCAGTTCACATTCCCTAAGCCTATGTGCAGTTTTGATTGCACATTCCCTAAGCCTATGTGCAGTTTTGATTGCACATTCCCTAAGCCTATGTGCAGTTTTAGTTATAATTATTGCACATTCCCTTAGCCTATGTGC